TATTCACACTGAATTTAGGGGATTAACGTACATTGTCAAGTGTATTATGACATAGATTATCGTTAGTTGTTTTTAATTCATCAGTTATTATCAACCAACTGGAGTAAACTTGTAGTGCGATCAGTTTAAAAAACAAACAACAATTATGATCATAAGGTAATGGCATATGACGAACTACTGAAAGTCAGGGAACATTTAGAACTTTTTCAACTTAGTCCAACGGTTGTACATTAAATAAAAATATTCCGCTTTTTGTATGTTCCTCCACTTAAATTAAGCATTACAGAAAGGAAACAAAAATACAAACTCATAACTAAGTTATAACTAGCTTCTGTAACGAACCATTTTATTGGTAGAAAGAAGAACATGATAGAGTTGAAATTGTTTGATTTGTTTAATCTCGTTGGCGTGTTTTAGCAAGATTTTTTTTTCTACGGGATGAGGTTGCCAACTCCATGCTTAATCTTCTTCCTTTTCAAGGGCTTGGGACCGGCAGTAACTCTAGAAGAGCTACAGGAGGAGTTACATACATGGTTTTAATTAGTCAATAGCAATTTATTAACCATTGGGTCATCTGTAGCATAGATAATTTAATTATTGTTCCCGATTAGTTCAGTTTATTAGCTTTGTCTTTGTGTGATTCAGTGGTACATTCCGAAAATTTGTAGTGTTTTTAAAAAAAATCAGCTTACAGTATCAGTTTCGATTGTGTTGCAGCTATAAATAATGATCACTGAGTAATGTCGGTATTCAAGAATGATATACAACACTTTAGTTTACAGGTAAGAGAAACGACTCAATCGCTCGGTGATGGGAAACCCTGGATTTAGGTTTCTGACTACTGATTACTCTTTGGGTCAGTAGTAATGTCCGAGAATGTGAAACTGGGTGACAAGGGTCCGGACCAGACTATATATTGATTTATTGATATAGATATGATGCCATACTACATGTGGTTCTCTAAGTTGTGTTCATAAACGATTAATTAGTATCGTGTTACTCAGTTTCATTTATTTAAATATGACTACTGATCAGTATAGATAAGCACATAAAAATCGGGCATAGTTTCTAATTTCATTTCCAGTGAATAATCAGTCTTGAAATGCTGTCTCTGTCCTCTTGCATTTATTCGAATCAGCAATAACAAAACATAGGCGGTGAATTGATCGATCTGTTATATTTTCAATGAATCTATCAGTTAAACTTCAAAAAGAGTCAAGTCAGCTGAATGTCAGACATTCTTGTTGAGTAATCTACGCGATAATTATTTACCGATAAAACGCTACTAGTCAAAATTATTTCAAAGTAATCTATATGCCACCGGTATTTTTCAGCGATGTTAGTGTCAGGGTATTTGATTACATTCACGAAATATACACTAAGGACTGTTACCGCGAGAATTAATAGTCGGAAGAAGAATGGATTCTTTACTTCATTCAACCCTATCCAACTGCTTTTTTTTCTATAATTTCAACTGAAAATTTAGTATCAGAAGGATTTTTGTAGATAATATAGTAATTCAATAGTTGAGATCATGAGTCAATTGAAGCTAGAGCATCATGGAAAACCTGGAAGCACTGGACGGCCATTTCGTTCTGCCGCGGGACTCCTCAGCAGTGCTCATCCAAGACTCCGCGTCGTTGGATTCGGACCCATGACCTATTGATCTCGCGTGCGAATGCTTAACCTCTACACCGCTGAGTCGGCATCCAACGGTGTTAATGTCTAACTTCAGCCAACCCACAAAATTGAACGACACATCCACTATTGTCTTCAGTGAGCTACTATCTCACAACAGACCTGGTTGGGCTCTACTGGTCATCACTTCTCACTAGAACTCCAGGAAATACCTCTTGAAGCCAGTTAATAGTGAACGCATGTTGATTAGTATCAGAAGGGGTTTTGTGGATATTATAGTAATTTTAATAGTTGGGATCATGAGTCAATTAACGTTCATAAAATAATGTCATTCAAAGGGGTTCCGAACTAGTTGACCGAATAAGGAATTCAGAAATAAACAAGAAATCCATGATACAACTCAATTTATCACTACTATTCACGAATACGTGGTTGATAGAAACAGTCGGTTTTATGTGTGATGAATTAAAAAGTCAAAGAATAGAAACTGAAATTCTACAATGCACGACAAGTATGTAATTATTTTGTTTGACAAGAAGTTTTGTACGTAGTATTACGTAGAAGGAGTCAATTAAGGAGCTGAATTTCTCAGCGAAGAGTATGCTAGTCGAACATCAACCTAAAGGCGAAGAAAGAAAATAATAACAACGGATTAATAACTAACAACATAGTTCACACAGACGATACAGTTCATGAAGCACTGTTGAATCTTTGAAACGTATCACATTAAAATGGTTATTATACAGAATTCATCTAGGAAAATCCCAAACTGGAAACTTAGATAATGAACGGTATTCTACAGAACCGAAGAAGGTTGTTTATGAATATCTAATTTAAAAACACAATAGAACCTGACAAAAACCGATAATATTGATCTTCCAATATATGACCTTTCCAGTCGGACTGCAAAGTGCAATCTATACGCAAATTGATTTGTAAATAAAATAAAGGTGGTCATCGACACTGGTGACTTAACATTTCAAGGTATAATGTAATGTACAAAATCGGTACATACACTCTTTTACTTCTTCTCTCTACTATCAAGTTGCCTGGAGTTAATAATCAGTGATCACAGTATTTCTTCAGTTAGGATAGACACTGAACTCTCCTAATTGTCATTTGTGAACAACCCTCACTTTGTTGAAAATATGATTATTTTTATCACTACCCATATTATCTGTCATTTAACATCTTCCTACTTATAAGGACATTTATCATTTTCGAAAAACTATAAGTTACTAGTATAAAAGTTGTATGAACAGTTGTACAAAATGTCGTTGTGGATTCTCTTCTGCCTTTCAGTTTAGAGTATAAAAGTTGTTGAACTGTGAACAGTCTTTTAGTTACTGATCAGAACGTTGTTTACATGGATGTACGTAGGTGATTTTTAGTAGCAGAATGATCATGTATGTATACTACTGTCACCGAAATTCAGTTAAATGCTTAAAGTAACAATTTCGGATCTGTTTTTAATTTACAAATACTTGTTAGCTTATTGATAAACCTCTAAATATCCATGATATTACTATGTAGTTGAAACACAGTAGGATTCGCTAAGATAACAATTCGATCACATTTGACACAACGCTTGACTAAATATTTTGTTTACGTTTAGTTCACTACATTATTTCTCCACTTGTAGACTAGTTGCTAATGTACCTAACCCTTTTTCAATTATCTCACCGAATTGAGGGACTACTAAAGCTACCACCAGCTAAGTTCGCTTAAATATTTCTTTGAATAGGCAGTTAGTGTCAGATTCCGAGAAAGGAAATTATCACTAATTTCATTTGATTTTATTGGGTCATTCCAATAGTACTGTAATGTAATAACTGTTAAGTGTACGTACTAAATTATTCACCAATAAGCACATTTAACTACTAATGAGTTGTAATTAACTAGTTTGTAAAATATTGATTGCGGTCAGATGCTTGTTGAAGCTAGTCTTGTACTACTCATAAGCTCGGTGTATACATGCAATTAATGATTATCTATTCATATAATATAGTCTAACAGTACTCAGTACTTTAAATTTACTAACCTCTTGTAAGTAAACCACATGATGATTTGCTGATGAGATTTCTCATGAAAGATAACAATAGTAACATGAAAGTGATATTCAAACATTTTATTCTATAAGTACTCTCTTCTATCTTGAAAAATCGTGCTTATTTATACGCAAAACAAAACAAAACGAATGGAAGTCTATTTATGTGAAAAGGATGTAGAAAGTAGTATATTCAATGGGGACAATTGTAGGATTCGTTTGATTCACTCTACATTATTAGATCATTAAATACGAAAACTGAGCTACTGAGGTTGGTATTTATAAATACGACTAAAGTTTCATGAAATTGCCAAAATATTTGCGGTTGATCACGAGGATAATGCGTTAATGAAAACTGCTTTTCTAAATGGCTCAGGTGTTTTGGTGTGACTTGTGAAGACTGCAAGGAAGTAGAATAGGAAGAGCTTCGAACTCCTGTGATAATGAAAAAAATGAAACATGTACAATTCCTTGCTATTTAATAGCCGCTTCCCTAACCAGATGATTGCTGATGATGTGGAACCGAGATAGTCATGTGTACACAATATTCTAACAGAACACTGTAGTCGAGAAAACTATATACAAAAATTGTGGAACGATGAGGCAGCTAAAGATCCTGACTTCTGAGCATTTAGAAGAATTCTTTAAATAGTATAAACGATGTTAGGGGAGTTCATTAACACGAATTGGTAGTATAATGAAAGATAAAAGATTTTTGTACCCTAAAATTTGTAAAATAAAGCATTTCTGAGCTCAGTTTATGTATATATTAGATAGACTATATATACCAATGAGTTTGCAAAAATACTATGTCAACTTAGCACACTCTTCAACCGCTTATGACTTTGTAATCCACAAAATCTATGATAGTGTATTGAACTGGCACATTATCTTTCATCTTGAAGACCAAATACATCTATAAATAAGTAGTACAGTAGAAATAAAAGTGGAAATTTGAATAAGGAATTTATTGAATTTCTATGCTCTTAATTATACTAAACCTGTTGGTTTTACATATAGTCAGAATCATTCTTTCTTTAATTAATTAAAATAAGATATTTTTCAATACTTATTATTGTTTTAAACATAGTGTTTGCGATGATAAAAAGAGGTTAGTATTACACGAAGGTGTGAAAAAAAAAGAATAGATAACATCGAAGTGCAAAGTATAGCTAATACGAACTGATGTTTTTATTGAATAAATAATCGAAGAAGCAGAATTTTCGAAAAGTGTTATTTTGAAGAGTTTTTTATGATAACCATGGTTTATCTATTTTCTTACTACAAACAGACATGACAGCGATGATGGAATTAATCACTTCGAATCCACGGATTTTCTTTCATCTGTAATCAAGTTTTGTTGAACATGCTCTAAGAATTCATTCATTAGTGATTTCAGCTGAGCAACATGTTTCGAAGATTCACTTTCTGGATCATAAATTGGTTCTTGTTGTTGTGTATTGACGTTTTTGATAAAATTCTTACCCCATGTTGTTCTATCTAGACCAATAGATTGGATAAATTGGATTGCAATAAACTGAGTCATTTCATGATCATCTGACTGCAAACTTAAATCTTTAAGGACACGTTGGAAACTCTCATCGAGTATAGCAATAAACATACTGACCATTACAAATACAACGCATAAAGAGAAAGCAGCAAACAGTAATGGACCCAACACCATTTGTCGTTCATACATACTTGTGAAATCGAATTTCCCCAGAATAATCTGCATACTTGTTTCTATAGCATTTAAAATTGTCTTAAAACCACTTAGTGTATCATTGTATAGTAAGTAGAAGACCAATACAAATGCAGAAAAAACAACCAAGAATATAAAGCAGAAATATTTTAAATCTGTTGCTGCATATTTCAACACAGACCCTAATAAACCAACTCTTTGATTAAAACGAAATAAGTATACAAGTTTTAACATGGCAAAGAAGCAAATTATAGCGGTTAAATACGTAAGATTTTCATTCCAGTATGCCAATAGTTGAAAATTCATATAAATATTACCATGTGTACGTGAAAACTCTTCAATAGATGACTTTGTACTCAGTATCATGTAAATATATGCAGCGATAGCAGCTATGGAACCGCAAATAATGAATAACTCAACAAAATTCCAAAATTTCGTGAAATATTTCAACCGTTGTCTGAACATACTGCGTATTTCTTTGATTAAATAACAAAATAGTATGAATGCAAATAGTGCCTATTAGAGGAACAGAAAAAAAAATGGAAAGAAAACAACGTGACTGAGTAAATAATTTTCAGAGTTTATTTAACTTTGTTTACTTGTCTATTAATTGATTATAATAAATTCTGTGTGCGGATTACGAATATTCTTATTTAATTATGTTCATATCCATGAAAGTGATTTTTATATCAGTCCTGAAGTTCAAATATATGTGCTGTCCATGGCTTATACATATTTATAGATGATAGTAGTATATTCATTTTCTCCACATGACCTGAAAAATATACGAAATTGCATCAGCATGGAGCTTAACAAGGTAACACAGTGGTGCTTGAAATGACAACTGGAGCTTAATACGGCTAAATGTGGATGGATATGCTTCGGCGATACATCGCTCAACCTAGACGTTACCATAAATGGAGAAGTGTTATCTAAGTTACATACAGTAGTAGACTTAGGACTTAGATACTCGCAAGACTTGTCGTTTACAGAACATATTTTAAAACAGACCTCTAAGTCTCAACGTCTAATAGGTTACATAACTCGAAATCTTTACAACACTGAGTCACGTATTCTAATGTACAAAGTTTGTGCTCGACCTCTTCTGGAATACTGCACGTTTATTCTTAGCAGTGCTCTCATAAAGGATAAATTAAGGCTGGAATCAGTATAGAGACGATTTACACTTCGTATTCTTGGAGCTGATTGTACCTTAACTTATAATTCTAGATGTAATAAACTTGGGCTAGACCCTTTATCGAGGAGGAGACTCAAACTAAATCTTATCTTTTTCTTCAAACTACTTCATAAACTATCGTTTACATCTGATCACGCGATTCAATATGCAGAAACCTCTCATTATAACATACGTAATTCCTTGGCACTAGTGAAACAAACTCATTCTAAATCATCTCTTTATATGAATTACTTCACCTGTAAATTCTCTAGACTCTAAAATAACCTACCACAACCTATCCGCACGATAAGATCACTCCCATTATTTGTTCGCTGCATCAATGCATACTGTTCTTCTGAAAATGCATTGAATGGTCTAGCGCCTTTAAGTGTATCTCATTCCACAAGTGATATTTTAGGAACCTTAAATGTTTAGCCATCTTTATTGGTGAATCCCCTTAGTAAAACTTGCTGTCAATATGTCAACACTGCCCATAGCAACTTTAACTAAGTTGAATAACACAAACAGTATATCACTGTGTCACATGACACACGCATTTAGGTAGACCTGATTAATATATTTTGGTAATTACTTTTTTGTTGTTCCGTGCTCTCTGTTTTCGTTTTAATTTCTCTAGTTGTAGATAATTATCATTATCTCGATCTGCCACACGTATTGACCTTAATTACACCGTTCATAAATCAACAGGCTGTCGATTTAAGAATTATTAAAAATTCCCGGATAATGCTTTGGATCACTGTAATATATGTACTACTTAAACAACTAGTGAACTAGTATACTTAAAACTTTCTTTTATCACATGTTTGTTTTCTGCACGTTTAACGTTATTACTTATATCAAATTGATCATGCCTGTAAACTGGCGTGAATTCTGTAATTATTATTTTTCAGAATATAAATTTATTATTATTATTATATCAATAATAATATCATTAATAAATTAAAGAGACCTCAACTCATAAACAACAGCAAATGAACCGATCTAAAGATCATAACTGATGAAGTATTTCCTATATCGGTTGATCTATGTGAACTGTGTGATTTAACTAATATCTACGTAACTTAGCTAAAGACTTGTAAATTTATATACATGATGATCGTGTTGCGCGATTCACTGAATTACATTTTATTGGTTGTGTACCTACCTAAGTCATTTCAAACCTAAATTCACTCAAATGCACAGACGTTATCCCATTAAATTACATGGGATTAGAGAACCAAGATTAGGTAGAGGAAGCCTGACACAGTGGTTATCATAGGAATACTTTAACATATATATGTCAAGGATAAACTCAAGAATAAGAACTATAAAAGCAATACTGTGAAATTTTAAACCATGTTATTGGATTGAAATTAATTGAAAGGATCACATATGGTTTTGCCGTACATCCCTCCTCTAATATCGGCAATCAACAGTGAAAGAATCGAGACTTTTAAAACATTATTTTGTGATTCTGGCACGAGAAATGTTTTTTGGCAATTTTACCTTGTTAAATAGATGGAAAATGTTTATAAAAGAAACCTAGATTCCAACCGCTACGTAGTTTTTTAAGTACGTCTCCAAAAAAATTTGTGGTGTACCAGTGTTTCCCACTTACATGAAAGATTACTCAATTCCGTCCTTATATTTTAAGTGCTTTAGGGAACAACAGTTTGTATAAAATATGTTTGATATAACAGTATATAAATTTTTAATTTCCAAGTCAAAATATAAAATAACTGGTACTTAATCTTATGGTTGATTAGTTTAACTGATTTGATTACATAAGAAACTACTTTACGCAGATACCAGTTGTACACCAAAACTGTATGAGGTTTCCCAATAACACAACATTTTAGGCTTTTACTCAGCCGCTAGCCACTGCTCATTGATCAATCAACTGTAAATACATCACAGTCTTAGAGGTCAGTAGCGACCGAAATAACTCAGTGGTGGCTGGGTAAAACGAAATTGAGTCTATCAAGTAGCATAATTCCTCTCAAGATTACAGGCACACCATGCCTACGAGCGTTAAATGGCATGAAACCAAGGTCTATGATCTCCTGTGAACCATCTTTAGCTACCACCATACATGTAGAACATGTTCCCTTGTAACTGAATCAACTTTTTTTCTGAGGTATCTTACTAGATATTCAGAGATAAAGTTAAATACATAACTAGAATTAATAATATATTTAGATGTACATATACTACCAGACACCAATTAAATGAAGTCCTAAATATAGAGATTTTGAAACTACAAGCCTTTACCGACACAAACATTATAAGCAGAGATGGATGGTGGCTAGCTTATAATGCTTGTGATTTAAGGCAATATTGCGGCAATCCTCACAGGATGCACATATACTAATAAGAGATTAATCAATTTTAGACCTGAAAATCAATGAAAAGATTCAGACAACCAATACAAAAATGAATTAAAAACTTTACTGACAGTTTGTTTTATAGAAATCTAATTGACTAGATAATGGAGACATTTACAATCAGTAAATGTCTCAAATATATATATAGATTTGCTGAAAACCGTTAAAATATGGATTTAAATCTGCAAACAATAACGCCTTTGGAAATAGAAATTTCAGACAAGCATACACATGGTTGAATCTAATCTACAGCTATGCTTCAACTATATTCAAGGGGTTCTAGTTATCTGAATTTTTTCTTTAAAATTAATCTCAACAACTTGTTCTACAGATCAGCGGTTTGTGCCTGGAATTCACAACCAGTACGTAAAATGCTAACGTCAATTTTCTATGAAATAATCTAACATTGACTGAAACCTGCTTAATAGCCTACGAAGAGAACACCAAGAAACAAATTGGAAGCTTAAGATCTTTTTGTAAACCTTTGTAATCCCTCATGTAAGAATATGCGTCAGAGAAAATTGAGTCCAAATAAGCATTTAAAATATTCCCTACCTGAGATGTAATTTGCGCAAGCTTAGTCTTAGAGCCCAGTACTCCAAACAAATTAGCCGTTTCGATACGATACGATGGTATCATTGCACCGATACCAGGCATTTCAATTAGAGCAGTTATAATGGCAAACAGATTGATATTAGGATTATACACTGTAAATTGTACTATTATTGCACGTGTAGAGAATTCGATCCAGTGAGTTTGATTTAAAAAACTCATCCTGTTTAACATTTCATCCTTCGAACCTCTTAGTAAATGAACATATCCACCTCCAGAATACCATGTAATCTGTCCCAGATATGGATAACCTTTCAACTGTGATGAATTTTGATAAACAAATTCTGGTGCAGAATTATTCGACTTATCATCCCCTTCAAACTTAGCCCATGATATCCCATACGCTTCTTTATCTTCGTTAAACATATCATAACTTCCGTAGCAATGTTTGAATAGATTTTTTGCGAGTTCGTGTACGTTACATGAATCTGTTCAAAAGAAAAAAGGGCGCATAAAAGAAATATATGGGTTATTGATAAATTTCTAGAATTAGGTGCTGACAAAAGGTTCACCACACTCTTAAAAGTGCCTGCAAAGCTTTAGAGGGGATTCACGATTGCTTTTGAGAAAAATTTTTCCCAGTGACACCAACTAAACAGCTTGTTTTAAATAAAATACTCAAGGTTTCGTCAACCTATCCAAGATACATGATTAAAACATCAATCCTCATAGAAGAAATATTGTTCGTCTGCCGGGATCTGGATTTTTGTAATTTTTCTACTTCAGTAGTTTCAAAATATAGCTAAATGTCATCGACAAATTTTTAAATTTACACATAATTAATTTGCGAGTAGGGATTCCTCATTATCTCCTCACAAAAGTTTTGATTCCAGATTAAAACCTGATCATTCCTTCAAACAATAAGTTTACACAACATGGAGCATGACAACCATCAAAGACTCGTTACATAACCTTGAGAGTTAGTTTATTTATGAGTCATTTACTGAATGGTTACTGCTGATATAACGTTACCTGTGATACTGACCATTGAATTTTGACCAAATAATGAAACTGAGGCATCCAGTTGAATGACGATACATAACAATAAATCATCACTGAGTTTGAATCTAAGTTCTGTGTATGCTCCCAGTCCTCAGTAGAGTGTGTGCAAACTTGTGAAGGTAAATGTTTCTGGGAAACATACTCACCTTATCCAGTGATACATTAATAAACATTAACACTGATTCAGTTCTGTTATAGATATGAACCATTTATGTAACTGTTTTGACATAATATACTAAAGTTCAATGCTATTCGATTCTATTCAATTAACGAGTGTCAAGTCAAAAATATGCTAACACGATATTATGGAGTATTGAGTTACGAATATTATTATTTACATAAACATGAATACATTAATCAGTAGATACTTTCAACAAATAATAAATATCAGAAGGGTTTTTGTGGATATTATAGTAATTTGAATGGCTGAGATCACGGACGCTGGCTCAGTAGTCTAGAGGTTAAGCGTTCGCGCGCGAGACCAATAGGTCATGGGTGCGAATCCCAAGAGGCGGAGTCGTAGATGAGCACTGCTGAGGAGTCTCACGGTAAGACGAAATGGCCGTCCAGTGCTTCCAGGTTTTCCATGATGCTCTAGCTTTAATTGACTCATGATATCAACCATCGAAAATAATAAATAATTGCTATGTAAGATGGAGAAGTGTATGAATGCATAAATACCTTTTTTAGTTCGTAGTTGTCTCATCATTCCATAACCAATTATTCGATCTGTTCTGTCTTGCAAGAAACCACGTTGGAACAAAGGTGGATTACGATTATACCATCGATCTGCACGCAAGCCAGGAATTAGAACATTCTGGGCCCATTTATAGAAATCGTCCACATCATTCATCTGTCAATAAAAACATATTACCTCCGAAATGAAGTGTGTGTTAATTAAAACCTCTATTTAATTTGTAAATATACATTTTAAAAGTACTAGTATATTATAGTTAAAATGATATTTCTGAAGTTTTCATCTTAATCAAACTTCATTTGAAACCAAAGTTCCACTGTGTTGTAGTCGATCTCTTCAATAATCAAATATAGTTTCATGAGACTTTTAATATAAAGTGGTGAATATAAGCACATTTTCAATTATATGAATGTATCATTAATATGCAGTAATATAATATTGTTTCCATAAATGAATAGATTTAAAGTAGCAATAAAAAAAATTCCTAAAGCAGGTTTTTATATTTACTCAATATTACAGTCAAATAATTGAGCATATAAAACTGAACAGAGCAATTACCTCATTTTATGATAAACCAAAATTTATAAAGTTTGATGATTATTCAATAAAATATACTTAATGTCCTTGTTAAATTAGATTTAACAGTGACATACTCTTATTGTTTACTTGTACATTAATAAATAAAACTAAGATACAAACTCTGGTGAACTTCTACCTGAAGTTTATGCTGATGATGTTGTTCTAAAGAACGATGACAACTTCATGACCAAACCATTCAGCTCAGAGAACAAAATTCCATTAAAATCTGAAGAACTTGTTCAAAATATTAACTGTTTAAGACATATTTAAATTTTATGTAATCAGCATTCATAAATTAGCTCTTGATTAGATTATACCTTCTTCTTAATAATCATCATAAACTATAATTCATTATATCATTCCTTTATTTTGAATAACTACTGACTAATTTACTGGTTCATTTAATCTTTTCTAAACGTAAACTTGTAAATCAATAAAATCAAAGTTTAGCAAGTGATAAATCTGTTGGTTAGTTACAAAGTTACACAATTTTGTTTCTGGTTAAGACAGTAATTAGGAGATTGTAAATTTTTGATGTTCATGAAATAATTGTGAAACTGAATACTATTCAGCTTATAATAGTAGACTTAGAGTAAACAAATAAATAACAATATCATCTCGTCCATGGTAGGACGTAAAATGATTGATCGTTCGTTATCACTGTACAGCAACTGTTTACAACTAAATGTAGTTTCTTTTTTGCTACTATTATGACTTTTTTCTAATTTGTGAGAGGATATTAACATATGGAAAGTACCAGTGTGATCCTTAACAAAATTTAAGTTAGTTAATTAGCCACTTAACAGATATAGTTTTTATTTGAGGTTTTTTCAATAATCTGACAATGTCAATAAAGTTACACCTGGTTTTTAGGAAACTCACATGTTCTATCCCTAAAACGTGAACCATTTTTATGAACACCTATAACTTACTGATTGATCTCTAAATAAATTGAATGAAGATTAACGATTTTCAGAAGTGTATTTCTTCCTAACATCCTGTGGACGATTTGTTATCAACTACCGGTGATACGAAATAATAGCCCTCATTCTCCTTATGAAAATATATCGAATCGAAATATCTAGCCGCTGTTGGAGTGTGGGCTTTTTGTTCAGATCTCCCAATATGGTTGTTATTTAACCTTTATTTTAAAAAAATAAGAGTTCATGATATATATTTTACAATACTCAGGGTTGATAACAAAGTATCAACGTCTGTCCAATGTTTCATGGTTTCCCGTTATCCTGTAACTGTATTTCTTTTGTGATGAAAGTTATCGTCAGAGAGAACTTGATCTCTTATTATGATTATTATTTTAGGAGAGATAGTATTTATTTAAATATAATTGTTGTAAGTAAATCTAGGAACAGCTACTTGCTTGTTGGTTTGGGAACCATTAGATGATAGTGAGTATAAATCGGATATCACACTAGATCCATAACTTCACATTTTCACCTGGTTGATATTGTCTGAAAGTTTTATCGTACAAGTGGCTTATCGTTTTCCGATTCCTCGAGACCATAATGACTAGCCCAATAAATAATTCAACTTATTATCCTTCTGGTACCTACTAGTTGCCACACTAATCTGGAATACCGGAATTGTTGTTATCATTTAACGGCATTTAAATCATAAATGCTTTATTCTGAAGTTTGTCAAGCATCATCGTATCGTACAATTATCCACCTAGCCTTCATGAAAGATTTCGCTAGTTGTCTGACTTATCCGGCGGTAGGTAGAACTCAGCATATATATATATATATATAGTTTACAACCAGGAGTAAATAAGTGCCTTGAATAATTTATAGAATCGTTTAGGAAACCTAGTCAAAATCACAAAATAATCATTTTTATATGAAAAGGCCTCTAGTAATTTAGAAAGTACTTACACTTTGAAATGAACTTGGAAAAAACAAATTTTGTAGACTAGATTTCAAGAGAAATCCATTAGCATCACGGAAATCTAAGCTGACAATTAGTAGCAATGTGAGAAAGAAAACGTATAGTATAACTTCACGAATGATATCATTGGCTCTTCTTTGTTTTAGTCGATAAGCTCGAGCACGTGCCAAGTCTGATGGATCCGGCGGTAGGATTACCAAACGTTGTGGACGAAAATCATCAGATACTAAATATGAGACAAAAGTTTAGTCATCTTGTGAAAAAATAACATTTTAATGAAATAAATCACTTTCTCTTCAAGTTCTTATTTGAGTTACACTTTACAGAAAATTATACTCGCATTTCGTAAGCAACCAGTGAAAGAAATCTAGTTTAATATGTTTAATTACTGAAGCGTACTACTAATACAATAGTAATAATAATAATATCTCTACTCTAAACAACCATAATCCAGACAGAAATACTAATTTCATCATCACAGAAATATATTGTAAAGTACCATTAAACAAAAGTTATGTTCCCAATACTTGTTTCCTTTCAAAGTATCTCTACAGAAGCAAATGTTATTGAAGTTTTCCAATATTTCATTCACGGCAAAGTTCTCAGCAAACTGTTATATCTGAAATACTGTGAAGTTTCTTCCTCCTAATTACATTTAACTGATGAAAGTGAATTACATCACTAGGAATTTATAATACAACGGATATACGTGTATATCATAATCTTATAGGTTTAAAGTCACCAACACAAGTAAGGTGTCTTCTGTCGTTTTTTTCATACTGCGGCACCTGCTGGAAATGATAAGAATCTTTCTCTCTGCAATCCATTAAGTGCTTGCATACCTTACTAAAAATACTCGTCAGTTAGCATGACGCTCACAACTTAAGCTGATAAGCACATTTATAAAGAAGTATCATATCTATCAAAATTGGCTTTAATCATAGCAAAGAATTTACAATTACAAAAGCTTTTTCACATACGGTAGTTATTATTTAAGTATTCTCTATCCATTCGAAGTTGATACCGTTTCCCTAATGTTTGGATTATTCGATCTTCTTCTTCAAAAATTTCTATTTGATCTACTCGATCAGTTGATTTACAAATGAATGAAAAGAACACGGCTAGCAGTAGCACCTGTAGAAATTAGTGGAAAATTTGAAGGAAATAACAAATGCATCTCTAAGTAATTCTTATTTGATAATATAAATAGCCTACATTATTATAATTATCATGATCATCATTCTATTCCTAAGCTGGTTTTAGATGAACTTTCCAAGTATATTATTGAAAATCATTGTCTTATCAGAATAGGAATTAAGATGGCTTCAAGAAATATGTAAATTTCCTTTCATCAATCTTTGCGATTGACACGCACTGGTATAAACGGTAACTCTAAGTAGAAATTTGGACTATATTAAACTATGAACAACAATTTATTCGAGTACATCTCTCAAAAGCGTCTGACTATTCTGAGGGCAAAGGATTATTTTAAATTCTTTTAAAAAACCAGTGTCGAAATCGGCACTTTTAAGTTATTTTAAATATCCTTGTGAGAGGTTGTCACTAAGCCATCGGTCATTCATTATAAATTCACTGTTGTAGAGAAAACTAAACTCTATAATGTTTGCCGAGTAACATTTGACCCTACAAAGCAATCGACTTTGTGAACATTAGACTATGTGTATTTGGGATCATATTCCAATCCGAAGAAAATCTGGTAGATGAATTGTGAAGTGTATACACAACTTGGTTATCGGATAACTGAATGATAAAAGTCAATGACCACAGGAATGATTAAAAGCAAATATTTTACAAACCTTTAGATGATGATTAAATGGAAACTAGGAATCTATTTTTTAGTACAGTTGGCAGCTCCAAATATAATTTATTGTAGAAAGGTATCCAGTATGCACTTTTCGGGATGTTATTTTAGTCAAAAATATTAGGATATATTATACCTGAGAATGAACGGACGATTGATGAATAGTGTGCGAATCTTAAAGTATATTTAGATAACTATTTTACTCCTAATGTCTATAGTCACCAAGTTCTCCACAAAATACTACCGATCAGTACCACGCATAAGGATCAAATTAAGACAAAAGTGTGTGTTGCACATAAATATAAGTGGTTAGAACTGGCTGCACCGACGTTTGCATTTATTCAACATAATCATAGTGACTGATGATAAGGAAGAGTGAGGCTTATGATAAAGTAGTTGGTTTTGAGGAAATGCAACTGTTAGGATATTCGGAAAAATATACCAATAATTATCATGTTCAGTCTAATGGTGTCTTTGGACTTTAAATGGGCATTCGTTATTGGTCAATATTTGTTTCACTTGTTAAATATTGTACAAATGTTGCTTTCTATTTTATGGTACGATGTGGTCTGTTTGGTTGGTATATAAACAGAGTATGTTTGAAATATAACGATTCATATCTCAGAGACTGAGACTTGTGTTCTGGACTCAACTGGCTGGGTTAGTTAGCGAAACAGAGCCAACCGGGACACTAGGTCGTTCGTACGTGTTTAACGTGTCATTGATTCCGATCGATAATTTGCTGCGCTCTAATCTGCAGTCATAAGACGCAACACCAACGTATATTGTGCCTTTTTTAAATTGTCTACTAATGGCTTCACTATTTAATACCACAGACAGCATTGAAAGATTATTGCAATATTAATTCAGTCACCACCATTTTTGGTTGATCCTTTGTTATCTGATGTGACTCAGTCAATAAAAGTGACTACTCAAGGTTCATATTACTACAATCCATTTGACAGAAGTTCTTATTAATTAATATAGGTAACGTATATATCACTTAACTGATTCAGAGAGATATTTCACCTTAACCCTAATGTTTTATGAAAGATCAGATTTACTCTACAAATACTTTTACAACATGACATATTTTTAGTTATTGAGATATTTTATATCAATTAAAACTAAATAAACACAATTAATAAATAGTGATTAAAAAAATATTTCTTATGTGTAAAAGGAAGCAACTAAGTATACCTTTATTGGTTGAGCTAGAAGTACACTTATAAAGAATGATAAAAACAATGATGACAGCCATTTTTTACATGTAGCTTCACCAAACATCACACCATAGAATGTTGTAAAAGTGACAGCTATACCCAAACATATGATAAGAAGTAACCAAGCGAAAATACGCATTTGCCATCCACAAAACAAAGTTCGTCCTTTTTCTTTACCTTCAGTATCGTCAGCATTTTCAGCCAGAGCCTCAGGGCTATATCGAAATAAATAAAAGGAAGGCAAAAATCAACTTGTGTTAGAGGAAATTCAGCTGGTGTTTTTACTAACTGAGCATTTTGTGCTACCGCCTTATGTGCATTTATTTGTTATGCTTGGTCATTTAAATGTTTGTAGACAGTTTTTAGCTGGAAGTAACATCATCCAAAAGATTACTCAGAAGTAACTAAACATTGAACAGTTATTGTAGCCATCCTTCAGACTCAGATTTGTAGAATTTTATATATGAGTTGGAATTTAAGATAATTCCTGTTCAAAAACTTTTTAAGCTGACGGGAAACTTTAAATCACTAACCTATCTCATCAAGTCTGATAACCCTCGTCTGTGTTTGGTCTACATTCTCACACTTAGATCTCCTACCATTGTCAAACTTTGTTTTCTAATGGATTGAGTATTCTTGTCTTTCACATAACGTTATAACAGGGCTTTATTTTCTTTCCAGTTAATGTTGATCCTTGAACTACAACTTTGCATTAACTAAGCTCTTCTAGCTAGAAAATCAATATTCATAACTATATAGGTAGAGCAGGGCAACTATGAAAATCATTACTCTGGAACATGAACATCAATAAAGCTTTCAAGTAAATGGGATTATGCATTGAAGAATAGCAAGACTAGCAGTGTAGCCAAGTATATATGGAAGTTTTACTACTGTTAAATGCCGTTCAAGTTATTTATAATGTTGGATATCAACTCGGTATCTAGATGAAGTTACATTACATTTCTTAACACTACAAACAGCTAAAAAAACTGGGTTATTTAGACATTATTAACTAATCCACAAGATTGTTTGTGATCTGTTGCTCAATAACTAAGGCAATCTATAGTTCTTTTACTCTATCTTATATGACCATTGTGTTTATAATTCAGAGTCACAAATATTTCTGTTAATATTCTTTTTGTTAGTCATTTTTTTAGATATTATGAATAATGATAATAGTGCAATATATTGTAGATCATGATGTAGTTAGTCGGAAGTTACAGTTTTAAATATGGATAGAAATGTCCATATTGAGTTTTCGAGAACATCTGTATACTGATAAATGTATTTATATGAAAAATGTATTCCAATGTTTTCTTTTGTAGTAAGCACCTGTAACCAGAATAATCCATCTGAGGGTTTATATTTTCTGAGATTAATTGAGTTTTCTGAGTCTTATCCCTTTATACTGAAGACCAACAGACATATATAAACTCTGATTTTCTGAACAAGATGATTGAATTAATCAGATTTTATAGCCATTCATTAGTCTGGACACTAGCTTCGGCTGTTACGATTATAGATTGATTCAGACGATTTCTAAAAAGTATGCGACAAAATATGATAACTCACTCCAAGGTACCATAGATAGAAAGACTAGCTACTCCATTAGTTTACAGCTAAAACAATAAGCAAACTTACTCATCATTTTCGCTTGTATCTTGTATTGCTGACTGAGTACTATAAATAAATGAAGCTTTTCCAAGATATAATTTTTCATCTAAATGTTCTTCAATAGCATGGCGTAATTTTGTTGCATGACTAACCCGTAAACGTGAATTACGAAATATATAAATGATTAAAAACAATGGAATGAATGTAAGCAGATTGTTAACAATAGCTACATAAAACTATGGAGAGAAAACAGGTGGAAAGAAGAAAAACACACAAATAAAAGTTAATATTTATAACTGCAAGGTAGAAAAAGTGATTGGTTAGACTAAAAAATGTTCACTTATATTTGTTCAGCTACGATTTGGAGTTGACTAAAAGAGTCACAAATTAACTGCACAGTCAGGATAATGTAAAGCATCTAGTTTAGTTATATAAAAGAATGATCACTGACAAATATAAATTTTGATTATAATACCTTCAGTATGCTATGAAATAATATGAATTCTAGTCCAGTGAATTTAATATATCATAAATTTATTGGTAAAGTACGGTTTGAAGGGACATTTATCCCCTTAAATATTCTGGTGGTACAATAATTAACTTCTTTGTAGCATACTCCGAAACTCATCATGAGAGAATATTTGTCTCTGCTGAATGCTACTTTTCAATCACTGAATAAATCGTCAGTTTATATCAGTCTGTAAGGAACTTAGATTAAATGTATCGCTATGTATTTAGTAGAATTCTTTAGTTTATCTACTCGTTATCATAAACTGCCATCGGTTGAACACATTAAATAACAAGTAATCCTGGAAATTTATTATGTGTTATGGTAAGACTTTTTTGGGATATTCCACTGACTTCAAACAATAAGAAAATCGGAAGTCGGAGTCTATATACGATGTCGAATTCTCGGCTGATACTTTCAATATAAATCAAATGAAATGATATCGAAAATCAGTAATTACTTTCCAACATATATTGATAACTGGTACAAGGGATAGTTCCTTGAAGTTTTACTGAGAAATCATGACTTAATGAGTCAAATAATCACCTTAAAATGGTCATCAAGTACCTTATACTGAGAAATGAGACATATCACTGAAGAGTTAGTTTAATATTAACATGAAAATAATGCTCTATAAGTTACAAACTTTTACAGCTTCTCTTTACTTGACAATAGGATCTGACAAAAACACTTCCCAATCAAATAAAACTTCAAAGGCTGTTATGAACAGCACACATGTGACAATAATATATAAAGCTTATAATCTACTGCAATAAATTAATTTGTATTTTTTTAAAATGTAATTCGTCATCATGTAAATTATATAGATGATACCAGTGATTAAAATGTACTGTCCTATTGTCATTTACAGCTTTTAAACATATGATCATATTCAGTATGGTAAATATTTCCTCTACAGGTTAGTTACCATATTTCAGTTAACTCATGTAATGCAACCAGAGTAACAGTAATAGATAAAACATAATGAAATACTGATTTATTTATGAGTAGATTTCTAAATAATGGATAAATATGATATAACGTTTAATTGTTGAGCAAGCCTATAAACAAGGTTGAAAATTCCGTAGCCAATCTATTATTCAAAACGTTTATTCATCAAAGTAGTTAGTACTGTATAACCATATAAAACGAAAAACTACGAATGTCTATAAAACATTTGAAGCTTCTTGTATCATCAAGCAGTCTAGCTCAGTGATCGTAATGTTTTCGAGATCAAAATATTAACAAGTTTTTTAACCAATATATAATGAATGACAATCCAAACCTTTATTCAACTCAATTTGTATGACATTCCATTGATCAATAATAGGTCCTTTTCATGAGAATGAACATTTGGAACTTCAGTGGAGCATAGTTAAATTTTAGAGAAAGAAATAAGTAAACAAACAAAGACGACTACCAGTGGCGTCGATGAACGTTCGCGTCAAGTTGGTACGTAACTGAATTCAAAAACATATCAACCATTTGATTTCTAGCAGGTAAATCACTTGTCAAGTGTGTTTTACGTTCCGTTTCTTTATTCACTTCCCTTCAACTCTTTTGTGTATTGTTTTATACTACTTATTATTATTCAGTAAACAATCTCCACGTGTATGTCGTAACGCAAGTTTACAGTGATATTTTAACATGTTTACATAATCTTATAACATTTATTGTATTTATCACTATAATTACTTTATTTCAATCCCTGTAGCAGTTATTTTCAGTTTTTGAATGGTCGTTTGATCCTTGTTTAAACGCGACAGTTTCCATATTGTTTGATCTTGGTTCACTTTGGCATGTTGATAAACTGTTATCAAGCTTAAACACAGCTAACATCTGTCATTTGCACTATTGTATGTTGTGATTATTCTTTATTTTATTACTGTAGGAAGCCTTTTTTATTTCAGAATTACAGGTTCTCAAGGCGCCACAGATACTTCACAAGTTTAGGTTTGTAGCTAATTTATGTATATTACTTAATAAAGAACCGCTTTTTAGATAAATAGCTGTTTTCTGAATTTCAATTTCGCGCGTATATCAATTGTGTGATTTAGACGTTTCGATAGATTTAACAACACTGGTGAACTGGTGAATCAACGTTTTCCTAGAAAAAATATAGATATGTATCTCTTTGTTACAAACAGTTTCAGATACATTCCGATATAGATTAATGAATGTTTTTTTGTTATTAATGGATAATTACAAAATATTAACTAACCTCGGTGGGAGTGAATCCAAATGGTCCAAGACTAATTAAATTTGGTTGTTTGACAGATCCTTCACCTTTGTAAAACATGCATGAACCAAGCATAGATAGATAAAGTAAAAGTAAACAACAGGCAACTCTTTCCACTCTTGTAAATCGACTGAATATTGGACGAGCTACAACTGATATCCATAGATGATCGTCAGTCATATTTCGAGATGCTGTTGTACTGAACATGTGTATAAATGTTAACATTTCTTCTTGACTTGTTACAGGAATAATACGATCCACCTAAATAATATTTTAACATAGACAATAAATACTTTTACTAATAAATGAATCGAGGATTGTAAAACGAAGTATTTTTGTGTTTTTTTACAATGGGTACAGTAAATATAAAGATTTTTGCCCGTCATTTATGTTTTTAGGAAGCCTTAAAATTAAATTAATGTAAATAACGAGGTTCCACTAATAAATATCACTACCGTTCTTTCACACTCTCGTGTTCAGTATTTAACATATAATACACAGGTTTTTCTGTGAATATTTCATACAACTAAAAACCATTATGGAGTTTATAAACAATTTTAAAACGTTCGTTTACCAGTTATAGGTAGTTCTAACACTACAGGCTTACCTGCAGATTTAACAAGTCAGTGAGAGCTATTAAAGCTTCTTTTGAACAACATATTCCAAACAAAGCTTTGAACGGACAATCATTTTACTCCATATAGATATTTTATGGTTTACTTACAGTCAAACTGTCTGCCTAAAGAAACATTAGTGAAGTTCACTACCAGTTACATTTATTCTGGTATTTCTTTCACAACATTGTTATAATTTCTGCTACACAATTTTCATCACTTCTAGATAAATCTTCCTGCAATGCTACTTAATATCTGAAACCTTAATTAATAATCTGTTATGAAGTTATTTGTTAGAAAACAGAATATAAGTGATCATTATACACATTGTATGATTTAATTCAGTTGGCTATTAAAATATTTAATTCAATATCTACATTTCCTCTGTACTCAGTAAATTGTGATTAAGAAAGTTCCGAGTGTAAGATGGTGGTTCGAGGTAGTCAACAGGGAACCCCGGACCCAGGTTCCGTGCTATTGGCACCCATCAGCAAGGTGTACCTGTAATCTTGAGGGAATCGGTGCTCCCTGACCGATTCGATCCTGTGCCACCCAGCTCCACAGTCAGAGACGTTATCACTGGGCTATCCGGGACGTGACCGACCTCCTTCTGGTGCACCAGTTTCCTCAAGATTACGGGTACACCTTGCTGACGAGTGCCAAGTAGCACGAAACCCGGGTCCAGGGTTTCCTGTTGACTAACTCCAACCACCATCTTATCTCAGCATAGTGCACGCAATGTCGAGTCACCTAGACTAGTGGCCACATTGCAACTTGGTTGATAGCACTCAATTTGCACTAAGGACTTGACACACATGACATTAATCACCACCCAGTGATCAATCAATTGTGAAGTTCCAAGTTTGTTTATTATTTACCTTCATGTTTACTACGGATACTGAAACGAAATTATAGTTATGATTAAAACATAAGACACAATTGGTTTCATCGTTGTTAATGATTACGGTCAATGCTTCAACTTTTACTTTCGTTCAAGTATTCATTACAAATATTTCATCATTCTTACAGTATAAGTTTAATATATCTCACATTTCTTAGTAGTTCAGATTTGATGTTTACAGTCATAACGAAACTAAGATGCTCCTCATCACCTGTATTTTAAGAATTACAAATTATTTGGAGTGGATTGATTTAACTCATATTCCGGTTAGTCAAATCTTGAATTCTCGATTGTTTTATTTAACTAGCTATATGTAAGACATCATATTTGATTGAACTATACTCTGCTTGCTATTGATATTGTTTGATTTTATAGAAACTGGTCTTTCCGACAGTCTTTTGTTGAAGGCAACTTGTTTGTCGACGACAAGAACATATACTGACGAAAACAGTAATTTAGGTATTAAATACACCGATATCTCAATTGAGATATGTCGTGAATAATAATCAATAATCAAGGCATGTAAAAAAGTCATATCAGTTTGCTTAAAAGATTTACAGATATTAATTCAATTTTCGAATAGCATTTATGATGAGTCGACATCAATTGTAGTAGAAATGAAAAACAGGGAACGCTAATGCTCCCTAATATTATTCTTCTAAGGTCCTTGGAGAGGTGACAAATACTACTCATAAAAATCAGTTTTAGACGATAGTAACATTCATTAATTCCATTTATTTTGACATATTTCTAACAATTTACCTGACCATCACCTTCTTCAACTGCAAACCAACTTTCAACAATAAAATGTGACTTTTCTCTAGTTTGTAAATCAACCACTCCAACATAATTGCAATACCACGATGCTTTATCACCTACACCAGAATTATCATGCCATAAACGTATGTAAATTAACGGCCCCAGTGGTCTATATAATAAATAGTAGAGTAGTGGGACCTTTATAAGTTTCATGAAAATTTAATAGATGATGTTATCAATAAATTGCATAATTTTCGCAACATTTATGGGCGATTATTTTAGTATAGACTTTTATATTACTAACTATAATTTAGTAATAAAAAGAGTTGTACATCATAGTCTGTGGAGTTACTATGGTTAATTCATTTTCATAACAATTCGGTTGATCCAACCATTAGTAGTGGTGTTGAGAACGAGAACACAAGTAAGAACAAAAGAATATCTTGGTAAAATAGGTGAACCATATACTGAATACTTCATTTGCAAATTTCCATTATTTATCCTCCACATTCTGTATGATTCTTCTTAATCTCAATTCCTTTATATTCTCTTCAACTTGATCTTCTTAGTCTTCTGCTGCCAGGGTTCTCACTTTCGAATGGTGTAACATACTACTTGCGTATGTCGACATAAGTAGCAAACATCCCAATGACAGTTTCTTTTCAAAGTTAAATCATGTACTGAAGCTGACCGTCTGATAGCCAGTCAGAAAATTAATTTTATGTTATATAAAGTATATGTTAACTTTTTGAAAGTAAATCTGATCCGAATCTGAAATTTTTGAAATTTTATGGCTTGAAACCACTTTTATTAAATGACATTGGAGTGTGTTTATTTTGAGATTCGATTACTAGGATTTTATTATGGTGTATATTGATCAACTGGTATATAAATTGTATACGGTCTTTTCTCTTTGGATCCTTTAATGTAGATAATCATACTTCATGTAGTGAGAAATGTTAATTCCTCTGATATCAACTTTAACTTATATGGATTATTTTCCTGAATCAGAAAATGATTCTTGCTGTTTTGTTGATTCGTTGCATTCTCTTAATTGTATAGCAGTAGCCATGGTAAATGTACAGGAGTTTGCTTGTAAATCCTACTTCCCAAAATCTTTTACATAACATGTTATTTCTATAAAAGTTTCAATCTAATAATTTGAGGGAATTTATTATTAATAACTTATTTTAAACCAACTAACTATTCTAATTAGCAAATAACTGGGATGAATACAAAGTAACTTGAAAATTATACCAAAAACATTAATAGTACCTCCAGTTTTACTTTAAAGCTCCACAGACCATAACTTTATTAAATTACTCAAAATTTATACTTCTAATGGATGATGAACGTAAATATGGGATGTATTAACTAGGTAAGGTTAACTTATTGATAAACCCACAGATTTGTATCAAGTGTTAATCAGATTTCCGTATGAAATCAGGAGTAATAAGAGATGTAGTGTGAAAATTAAAAATTGTTGTTTAGCGATTTAAAAATATTTTTATTTGCTTTCGTGGTAACAACTGATGATTGGAGTTAGCCATCAAAAGAATTCAGGCCACGTTTCTTGCTATTTAATCCTCTAGGATCTCGTAGATAACCGAGGCTTTAATTTTAAGAGTTTAGAAGATGAATTTGTCTGGAAGTTTTTATTTCAACCATACATGATTGTACGATATTTTTATAGACACTAGAGATCTGTCTCTAAGCAACAAGTACGTTTATAAAACCATTCCTTCAGTCAGGTTATACTAACTTTAACTAAAAAGTATCATAAACTTTAAAAACTTCCTCATCACCCTTCATCACGCGTTCATACTCGGATGATAGTTAGACCATAAAGCGGTAATCACGTTACACAAGTATTACTTATCTCCTACAAATACGACATCAAAATTAATGAGACCAAAGGTATGCCAACATGAAATGAGTGAAATCGCCAAATAATTTTACTTTTTAGGTTGAATAACTAGAAACCTACTTTGGACAAGCGAGTAAAAATCGATCCGTGGCACCACGACACAATACTTTTCGATTGGGATCTTGCAGAACGTAACAGCCTGTCTCACCATATTGTCCAGAAAGAATGAAACAGACTTTAGAATCAGTGCCCCCACATCTACGATGTCCAGTACTGACAATGATTTCATAAAAATACTCGCAATCTGGATTATTCTCAGACAACTGAGTGACAGTAAGCTAAATATGAAAAGACAGAAAATAAGGTATTAATTAGAGTTTACATGAGATATAACACGTTTTTGGAAAGTATCCAGTTGTCTGGGCATATTGTTAACAAACAATATATCATTCCTAATGTAATGTATATTCTTATTTATTCATTCGCATGAGTTCGTAGAAAGAAACACATAGAAAGAAATATGAAAGGGGAATCTGTCATGTTTCAGAGATTATTTACAGGTTTTGTTTGTGAAAAGCAACATATTTACCGATTTCATCGTTATACATTTAAGATATCAAATATTTGTGACACTCATTACACTTCAATGTTCAAAAAATCATTGATGATAAGTACTTTCAATATAACCTGTTTACAAAGAAAGACATAATAACGAACCTCTCAACATGCTGAAATGAATTTGTTTAATAGTGAAGATTAACTGAATTTTGAAAGTTCCTGTTAAAGATTAACTTCGGGTGGAGCTATGCAACGAACTAACCAAATTTAGAAATGTGAGCCATTAGGCTTCTTCTCAGTTGTGTAGATGTAACACTCACTCACCCAAGGGATCTCAAAACCCTAAGTTTAATTCCTGATAAGGTTATGGCTGTGTACAAGAGGTTGAAGGTAAGTTTACATAGCTGCCTAGTCTCCCTGAAGTTCTAACTGATAGCAATCTGTGGTGAAATATATACTAACAACTTTGGCATATCTATGCCTTTGTAAGTTACATTTGAATATTATCTTTGGTTAAGTAAGGAAATCATGAAATAAAATTTCTTTTTTTTTTTATTAAGAAGTATTTTGTTTTTTCTTGCTCTTGTTCAGACAATATTCTGTTTCACATTGAATCCTTTGGAATACCTGGATATTTCTATATTTGATAACTGAAGATAAAGTTAACCCCTCACTGAGTCAATAAGTAAATATTGTTCTTTTCATAAAAAATCACATTGTATAATAACGATATGTAGTTATATAGCTGAATAATAATTTGAAAAGTCAGGATAAGAAGACAAATTCACTTTACCTCTAACTTGGTGTAACATTTTATGAAATATGTTCATTCTCAGAGTGACATTAAGTCAGCAGAATATTAGGGTTATAATTTCCAGTTCAACATTATATCAGATATATATGTTTTGTAACAGTCAATTATGAAATTCATTCAGCATGACAGGTGTAAACTCTTCTAGCGGGACAATTATATTCATTGTATTATTCTGTGTGAACTTTGTAAGTATTTTACAGTAACCATGTTTATCTTTTCGTTTATATGATGCTTATTGATTAACCATCGAGTGTGTGCAAAATAAGCATATTAATGAGTTAATTTAGTCCAATGACGGCGTGATTTTAAGCGAATCATTTTGAGGACTTGTTTTGGGGATCGTATTTGTGGAGAGTTAATAAGTCTTCATTGTACTAGTGTCTATGTTCACATTTCACACTTCGCACCATAGGGATTACGGGGATCCACTTTCCCAAGTTTAAGCCATAGGATCGCGGATATTAAATCTTGTTGCTTTAGGGAAATAATTGATCAAACAAGAATTGCTTAACATACTAATTAATATTAGATGTTGCTCCGTTAAAACATGATTTATTAATTACTAGTTCATCTGTAAACAGGATATGTTGCGATGATTATCCATGCGTTAATATTTCTCACCAAGTCCTTGATTATAGCACACTTTTGATATTAAATATAACTATTCCCTTGCAATTAATACTTATCTTTTGATGACATGAACTTCTAACCTTTATTTTTAATTTTTTGGATAGTGAGATGCATATAATATACAAGTCATTCATGACCAATATGTACTAAAGACTAGTAACTAAAGCTGGAAAGATAAATTATGTTTAAATTGTTACCTTTTATCTTGCCAGTTCACTTTTCTCTCAACTAAACAGTAATATCTAACTTATAACCAAGTTTCGATGTTATTTCAACAAATCCATGTCAAGTAATTCTCAAGTGAGTGATGAATACCTTAGCTGTAGTTTAAACTTTTTCACTAAAAAAATCCTCAATGTTATCTTAAAAGTAATATCTCACCTTTTCTATATCCTTAATATCTTCTCTACGTGCCCAGATAAGTATTAATAGAAACATGATACAAAGGGAAATCTCTGTAGCATACAGTGTAGGATTTTTGTTAAAATCTATATTAGCAAATACATAATTGAAATCGATACTGTTGGGTAGTTCAAACCATCCAGATGTGAATGTGGAAAATTCATCACATATACATTGAGTCTGTTGAACTGTAGTCTTAGGACCAACCTTAAATGTAAAAAAGAAAACCAGTGTATTTATTTTAAGATTCAAGAAAGAGTATTATTACACGTTAACAAATATGAGAATAATGAAAACGCGAATTAACGAATACTTTCCTATGAGTTGTTTGTAAAAAAAGAACTCTCCGTACATAACTTGATATCTAGTATGATCTGGTATAAAAGGCTAAATGTGACTGATTTCAACTTTATAACATTTTACTTGAACTAATGTATATTTCCATGAAAAAGCATGAACCAGATCGCTAGGCGAAACTTTGGATTCACTTCAAATTCTTTCTCTGAGATTTTACAAATACATTCTTCCTCTTCAGTGTATAAATGATTAACAAAGTTTATTACTAAATATCTACGAATAATAAATGTTTTGTTAACTGCAAACTATTTGGACCGAGTCCGTGTTCATAATCTTTATAATGTATTACTTTATCTGACAGATAATTCCCATTTAAACATTAAAAATTAAACATCACGAAGTTCAGAGAACGGATCTCTTTTCAGCTAATTTATTGTCAAGCTATACAGTCGTATATATATGAAATTTTTTTGTTAAAGTACCAATTATTATTATTATCATTGCATTTCTCCCCTTACGGGTGCCTCAAATCCTCATTAGTTTATTCATAATTGCTCATGACATCACTTTATTTACTTTCTACACAGCCATGACCTTCGATGACCTTTAGTTATTGAAACATTTGAATCATCCTACTACATTCAAGTTATAACTCGTTACTAACTTATTAAGTCGATTGTTATTATTTTTGTTACGTAATCTAGTATTAAAATCTTTCTATTACATCATCATGGTTATTTCATGTTCACATTTTCTCATGGAACTAGTAGTTTACCAAAAAAATTTCATATATATACGATTGTATAGCTTGATAATAAATTCGTTGAAAAGAGATTCTTTCGCTGAATTTCGTGTTTTTAATTTTTAATATTACTTTATCATTTTATTCAATTATCATACTGACTCGATTTTCTTTAAAGCCTGTTAAATTAAAATTAAATTTCACAGATTGAAATCATGAGTCAGTTGAAGCTAGATGACCATTAAAAACCTGGAAGCACTGGACGGCCGTTTCGTCCTTATATGGGACTCCTCAGCAGTGCACATCCACGATTCCGCACCACGCGGGGCTCGAACCCAGAACCTACTGGCTCCACGCACTTCCAGGTTTTCAATGGTGGTCTATCTTCAACTGACTCATGATTTCAATCTGTGAAATTTCTAAAATCTCCACAAAACCCATTCTGATAAAATTAAATTACTTTACCTATGTAATAACACAGCTAAATTTATTAATTCATGCACTGAGTAAATAGATGGAAATTGTGAGTATTAATTGTTTTTTATTTATTAACCATGACAATTATTTAAAGAAGGATAGATGCTTTGTTTTTATAATAAGCTAATCACTACTGTTCTTCGGTAGAATCAATTTAGGCCCTAAATATGTATTTCTCCCAGCTTATTGTTTGTGTCTGATAGAAAAAAGTACTGGTTATACGATTCATGAAAGATTAAGATGCTCAATTCTAGTTTGAAATCCTGTAGATAAGTATTTGGATCACTGAGCTTAAGTAATTAAAATACACCGATCATTTAAGAATGTAAGTCTAATACTTGTTGAATGCAGTACATAGGTTTGTTGTATTTGAAAAATGATTCCCATGTTTCCGAATAGTAAATGTGCAAATCTAGAGATCATTAACTTGATTTTCAGAAATAGTTATAGAGGTAAACTACTAAGAAGCTTCAGAATTTTGTAAAGTAGCTGTCTATTACTCATTTGTTTTTTAGTGCAACTGATCGGGCTTCGAGATGAAGCCTGTACTTTTGTATACATGGATAATTTAGGGAAAAATCCATGAATATCTTCCTAATTATTTAGTTTATAACAATGTTAATTATATCAAACTCACTCGGCATTTGCTTGTGGACCATTTTTTCGAAGAATCCACTTGACCAGATAGACAAGATGTTAAAAACCAACGTGAAAGCGCTGTGTTGTTTATTTGATCTCTGTATGGATAAGGAATTAATGGAGGACTTGTATTTTTATACGTATTAATCTCATACTGATTTAATTGACGAAAACCAATGTAAATTGTTTGAGCTACAGACTTTTGTAGAAGTTCAAATCTTTCACTATATTTCTGTGTTGATCTAAGCTCCATTAGTTGACGGTTATCCAACATAAATGTATATCTGTAATTTGGATCATTTGGGTTTGTGGTCATATTAACTAGGAAAGAAAAATGAAATTTTTTCCCATTGATTAATAAAGGAGTATGAGAGGCTCATGAAACGTTTCTTGTGATATTTTACTTGTTTTTAAGGGAATCAAATTTGATCATTATCAGAAATTATTATCATTAAGTTGGGTTAGTTAAACATTTTCTTGAAAACACGCAGTATACTCGTACTGTTTAATATATAACGAATAATGACAATATGAAAACAAAATACAAAGAAGTATATAACTGTGAGATCCTTTATTTTGACGTCAATTAGATAGGACGATGTCATCGGCGGGCTCAACACTTTAGTGACCCTATGAGTTTAACACAGTAACCGCCACTACATAAATGATTACTTTGTGAAATCAAAATGAATGGTATATACTAAAATTATCTCTAAATGCAAACTTCCAATAAGTTTTTTTTGATAAGGTTGTAGTTATTGCATGATACCATAATGAATGTTTATGATTATAACAGACTGATTTACCGGATCATTAGCTAATTCTTATAGTCTCACTTAATCTATTTATTCTACTCTATTTTTTGTACCACTTGCATTTGCATCGTACAGGTTTATATAACTATTCTTCCAAGACCATAGATTCATCACATTCACACAGACATTATTAAGATCCTTCGAACGATAGTCATATATTTTGATTGGTAAATATATTGATTATCTATTCAATCATACTTCAAAGTGACTTTCGTTTTGCTATATATATGTAACACGGTAGTAAAATACTAGTAATAATACTGACAAAAATAAATCCAGGTGATATGAATCAAAGTTATGAATTTATCAAGGTAACGATAAATTGATTACTGTCTCTTTCTGGACACTTAAATCAGGTTTGAGTTGCTTAATTGCTAATGCTGCGGAAAAACCGAGAAGGCACAGCGCTGTTTGTCTGCTGATAATTGTGAATGATTGAAGAATTTCAATTATATGCCAGGTACCAATTGAATCCAAAGCTATTACATTGTTTAAGCCCATTGTAGCTCTCAGTTTCGAATTCATTAGAACGTGCTCAAAATTGCGGACATGTACTTTTCTCCCTGTAATGTAATGTAACTTCGCATGTATATGTAAATTGGTAAATGCAGTCGATGATACTGAGTAAAGAGGACCGGCTGATTTATGATTGTTTTGGGGAGCAATTCATTCTGTTTAAAGTGGTTTCCTTATGTTTCTCTTCTGTCAATAGGAGTTCTACTTTTAATTCCTGATACATACTAATTATGTCTGTCTGTATAATTAGCATACACCACATTACTACTGCACAAGCGATTTTCATTGCGGCATTTATTCTGTCGTTGATTATTTTATTAATTTCATCTTCATTGAAGTGAAGAAATGGAAAGCAGGTTTTCATTTTATCTGTATCATATTTAACATGTTCGTCAGTTTTGGCAAACTCCGTGAATTTCGTTCTGCATACATTTTTATTTAAATACGTTTTAATGAAATCAAGTTCTTATAGGCTTTCCTTGGAGCAGAATTTACGATCGTGGTCAAAAAGTGTTCTTACAATTCGTATTTTACAACTCACTGGACAGAAGTTATTGTTGTTTGAATTAGTTGGTAGCTTATAGTCTCGTAAAGTAGGTTTGTTAAAAATAATTTATCAACCTCTGGAACACACGAGTTAAGTAGTCTAAGAGTTATTCACTTAGGTAATAAGTTGAAAACTATCATTTATACAGCACTGTTATTCCGTATATGTGACGTGAATAAATGAATAAAAGTGTAATACACAAATATCACTTTTCGAATGACCACCTTCATGAATACACCTCTGTTTCGACCTCAGTTACTTTTAAAAAATCATTTAGATATTGAGTTCAATCGGGATAGTTTAAATTTATTGTTAATTTTTGCATTGGTTGAATATATTGTTTTAAACATTACTGCCCTTCTTATAAATCTCTAGAAATCTCTTAAGTTACATTATTAGTCTATGGCCACATTTTCAGAACAAGTTCCTACAGATCATTAACTGTCTGGTTCTAAAAATCCGATTGTAATAATCAATTAAAAGGCTAATAATCTTCGGTTAATGCATTAATAACTGCCACCACTTACTGATATTAGTCCAATAAATCATCAACTGATATATTTACTCTAGAACTTCAAAAGAGAATGCTGCCATAGTGATATGCTTAAGTATTCACCAAAATTTAATGTTTAGACAGGTTGATTCGAACTTGTATACCCTAAAAATAATTCGTTCATCCATAGACAATCTATTTTAATTCACTCATCGTTTATCGAATTTGATAATCTGGAAAATCTGATAAGTCATGTGAATTCAACTTGTTTTGTGAATTGACTTGGTTATTAACACTTACATGCATAAACAGTGTGACAGTTTACTGAAGAGTAAGATGACCTTACACTTTTTAAATGATCATTTACAGAAAATGGCTTGATAAAAAATGTGACTGAAAAAGTTTTGGTATAGACTACATGATTTTATTATATCTCCTTATTTATCTTTATATATTAGTTTGACTATCCTTATTATAACCATATGAACTCATTTTATTTAGCATTTTGTTGCACTGTCCTATTTGGTTTATATTTCATAGCTGTTTAAACGCTATTTGGGACATTTTATATAGCTTACGATTTATCATTGAATAAATGCCGAATCTTTATTTGAGATGAACAACTTAATTTTGTTAGATATGCAAAGCAAAACACTGTATAATAACGACTGAGTAGAAATTTATAATGTAGACTGACAATTACTTACCACATTGTGAAGTGTTCTCAGGTAACGTTGTCCACATATCATATCCTCCAGTTGATAAGGAAATTACTGGGGGATCAATCAGTCTATATGAAAGAAGAATATATATCAATTTTACCAATATGGTATATGTAATAAGACGGGTATCTAATAGTTCAACTTGAGGGAATAAACATTTCTGGAATAGCGCTAACGAAATAGATTCTTTAAATACCCAATATTTGTACCTATATGATGTACATTTATGTCATCTAATCAATACGCGGTGGAAATTAATTAACAGTCACTAATGAAGTTTTAGATACATACTATCCAATTAAGTGAAAATACGACCATAACACAATGCTAAACAATCAGATAATTATTCTGAAATTTTATAGGGGAGTCTGTCATCCATAGCCGGCCTAAATTCAATTCAAAGCTCTATACTGTTCAATCGACCTTCATCTTCCAACTTGATTCGTTTTTAATGTTGACTGTCCAAAACTTTCCCGAAGCTGAAAAAATTATCATGACCAATCTGCGATGATGATGATGATGATGATGATGATGATGATGATGATGATGATGATGATGATGATGATGATGATGATGATGATGATGATGATGATGATGATGATGATGATGATGATGATGATGATGATGATGATGATGATGATGATGATGATGATGATGATGATGATGATGATGATGATGATGATGATGATGATGATGATGATGATGATGATGATGATGATGATGATGATGATGATGATGATGATGATGATGATGATGATGATGATGATGATGATGATGATGATGATGATGATGATGATGATGATGATGATGATGATGATGATGATGATGATGATGATGATGATGATGATGATGATGATGATGATGATGATGATGATGATGATGATGATGATGATGATGATGATGATGATGATGATGATGATGATGATGATGATGATGATGATGATGATGATGATGATGATGATGATGATGATGATGATGATGATGATGATGATGATGATGATGATGATGATGATGATGATGATGATGATGATGATGATGATGATGATGATGATGATGATGATGATGATGATGATGATGATGATGATGATGATGATGATGATGATGATGATGATGATGATGATGATGATGATGATGATGATGATGATGATGATGATGATGATGATGATGATGATGATGATGATGATGATGATGATGATGATGATGATGATGATGATGATGATGATGATGATGATGATGATGATGATGATGATGATGATGATGATGATGATGATGATGATGATGATGATGATGATGATGATGATGATGATGATGATGATGATGATGATGATGATGATGATGATGATGATGATGATGATGATGATGATGATGATGATGATGATGATGATGATGATGATGATGATGATGATGATGATGATGATGATGATGATGATGATGATGATGATGATGATGATGATGATGATGATGATGATGATGAAATCTCATTGTAAACCAACTAATAGTTATCGTTTCATAAATGTTTAAGAGAATAGATATTTATAATAGTTCTGAAACTCAAATTTATATCAGTTATTGGCTCGTTTACAGAGTAAGTTTTTATAAAACTCAATAATGCCACATTCACAGGAATAATTAGCGTGTACAATCTCATGTTAATGTTAACTTAATGCACACATTAAAATTTGAATACCAGCTGGTGTAAATCATTTGTCTATAGAATTTTGTTAGTTTTCTACTTTTCATTTCGGAATAGAACCAACAGTAATATTGAGCCACGTTGCTTAGTAATTATATTGCAAAGGCGACTGATAAAATTTATTTAGCACTGATCTCAGTTACTTATGTGCGTAACTCATTGAATAATTATATATCTCAGAGTCAGTAATGTTTATTATTAGAATTAGTGATGAAATTCCCACTTCCCAGAGGCTTTAGAAAATTGTTTATAAGGAATATTAGTCAGTATCCAAACCAAATGCAGCACTGCATCTTTCAACACCACATAATAATAATAATGTCACAGCCCGGTTACTATGCTGCACTATCGAATTGGTGAATTCTGAACAATGAGAAGAATTAGATTTCATCATATTATGAAAAACTGACCATATCAGTCACCTCAGTGATACAATTATTTTTACAAGTTAAATGTTATCAATTCTTACCTTAGAAACAGTAAATATTGTGGACATTCAGAAATATTTTCAGGGTACAACTGGAAAAATACAGCTACATCATCTGGTACTACCTGATGACTCATTAAAAGAGCTTGATAAATTTCTGTTTTATCCACAGCTATTCGTGCAGCTGGTAGTTGAGGTCGATTTGTTCCTGGATCCATACTTGTAAAGGTTGGTTGTTTGAAATTTGATAACTTAGGAGAAAGACCAAATTAAAATAACAGTTGTTAAAATTAAATACAATCTCTCTGACTAGTTATTGACGAATGTTCACAATTTTTATACAAGAATCCAATAAATTACTTATACAAATTGAACTACACATAAGACGTAAAGTAGTTTATAATCTATTGAAATACTTTAATGAATTTATTCTTTATAGATTGGTATTTTATTTACTCGGTGTAACTACCAATATCTAGTTCGTTTATCATACAAACTAGAAGATAAAAAGAGATTCTGATCATATTTCTTGAGGATGTTCCAAAAACCTCAGAACAAGGAAAAGTAAAACTCTAAACAGTGCCATTACCAAATATCTCTTTGATACAAGACATCAGGTCGATACCTTGCAATCTTTCGAAATGATTAATAAGCAGGCAAACTCCAGTCTTCTGAAGTTTGTTGAAGCCGTTGCTATCAGGCATCAGAAACCTGGCTTATGTGTTCAAAAGAAGATGGTTATTAATCTTTCCTTGTCTTGGTGACAAATATTCCTTCGTTGCATCTTAAATTTTTTTAAAAACTTATTCTTGCATTTATTATATTACTGAGTTTTTATTTCATCAATCTTCTAGATTATTAACCTTATTTTATTGACTGAGCTTCACTCATTTTATTGCTATAAGCGTTTACTCATTATGTAATCACTTGTTTCTAGGCGTTAGAACTGTTGTCACAGTCAGTGTCGTAGAAATTTCCTTTACATAAGGTATATATTTACAATATTCAGTCTAGTAAATCTATTAACACCCTTGTTTTCAACATAACTTCCGACTAAACACTTTCATGTAAGTAATTTAAACCCATTATGTAAATATGATTTTAAATATCACAGGTTGTAAGCAGCTGACGAGAACCAACGAAATAAAATGAATTCATACTATTCTGCTAGAATCATTGTTCTTGCTCTTCACAAAATTAAATCAGACGAAAAAAGATATTGGCATAATAATAACACATTTTAAAAACTGAATTTGGTTTTACAAACAATTTTATATGATTTAATGCAACTAACGAAAAATGAGGAGTTCCACGATAGGACGAAACAGCCGTCCAGGTTTTCCATGGTGGCTTAACCTTAATTGACTCATGATTTCAACTATTAAATTACTATAATATTTAAATAAAACCTTTCTGATTTTTTTTTAGTTGAACGCAAAAAAATATGATGAGTTAATCAAACAGCAGTGTTAAATGTAAGAAAAATAATCAAGAAACTTACCCTGTGAACAATTCCTTCAACTATTTCTTTGACATCTTTAATGATAACTGGTTTGTTATTGTATAAAATCATTGAAATAGTCTCAGTATGAAATGGGATTGGTATAGATGAACCAGTACGAAATGAGAACAGGTTTGTTTTCGATATGAATGTCTAAAAATAAGAATAATGATTTTATAATTAAACTTATTTGACTCACATAAGTAAATATTGAGAGCTAATATGAATAATAAAAGAATTACTTTGACAGTTTTCATATGGATACATGAATTCTCAGTGTTGTTTTTTTGAAAATGAGTAATTACTAAATTATTTTGCCGGGAAAAGACAATTCAAAAATCAACTGTTTTCATTTAAATAAGTTATTTATGTTAAACATATAGTCTCTAAGGCATGACATGATTTAAAGGGTCATTAAAATAACTGAAGGTTAGGGATTTGTTCGTTGTATTTTTTGTAGTATACAAATATTGCTTTCTGATGCTATGAAATCTCTTGTAGTCAGAGCTTTAGGCGAAATCGTTATGTTTGAGTTAAATTCCATGAGCGATTGGTCAGTGTTTCCAATCATTATTCAGTAAGTACCATATCTATATTGTGTTATAGTTCAATAAAATTTATAGAACCACTCCTATATCTAAACAAAATTCCTAGTGTATAGTGTTCTTTTTATGTTTCGTTACAAAAGACATGAGATGTTGTATAAATTGTCCGTCTTATCGCTTCTCTAATGAAACAGTTAACGTTACAATATTTTATCTTTTACCAATATACATTTTCCCACTTTAATTAAAATATGAACCCCATTATGCCAATTTTTCGTACTGCCTTGTCATATTTTAAGTATAAATAATATGTTAAACTATTTGCACAACTTGGTTTAATTTTTTTTTGTTCATCGCATTAGAAATTCTGTGAACAAATGTCCAGTAATCGTTTCATTTTTCTGATACGTATGTTGATAAAGTCAGATGGCTAGTGAAAATCATGTCACTTATTCGATAGCTACTTCGAGTTTGAAACAAGGCTTTGTGGGCAGTCTGGAAAGTTCCAACAATATACCAGTAAACTTGAATCATTATTCAATGTATTTTGTAAACAAAATAGAATTTCAGTGTTCATTCTTCAAGCTCTTAATCATAATTCTTATATTATCTGGTTACAACAACTGTCAAGCTTCAGAATGTTTACGAGACCATACTCTTATGATTCACCGTATCTTATCGTTTTTCTATAGAATCAGTTTTTAGAAGTAGTCAGTGTTGTTTATCTGTCACTAACCGTCAGTATGTTTACAGTAGGACTAATAAACTATATTTTTTGATCAAATTTCCATCTCTTTCCTTTCCAAATAGTGTTTACTTGTTTCTGTTGTGATCATAACTGCTGACTAATCTTTAGTTTATCTAAATAAAGATTATTCAGGTATACATAACTTTTCAAATCAAAACGCAGTCTAATGTAAGCACTACGAGGTCCCACGTCTAGGTATTTATTTAATAAAAAACGAGACTGTTTTTCAGCGGTGGAATGACCCCTAAACGTTGGATACCGTTGGATACCATTCTGCATATAAAACTGAAAATTTAAACCCATGTCAACTCATGATTTAAGACACCTTATTTTTCAGCCACCAGTCGTCCAGTTATAACTGTATCAGAAACTGATACATCCTCGGGATTAAATTTAAGTTTATAAGAACAGTGGTGTTCAGCAGATATAACAGAAGCTGCGATTGTCAGGGAGTTGAGTCGACGCCATGTTTGTTGAGAATGTGGGCTGTTTTATATTACATCCTAATAATGAGTTATTGGTATCTAGAGCTATGTTGTTTCATATTCAAAAGATGTAATAGCGCTCCTTGATTCTCAGTGATTGCATGACTAAAATTAGCTTGTATTGAAAACCATCATAAAATAAAAATCATTATATTACACATTAATAAACTCACTTGAAGGCTATATGGTTGTGAACAACTTTCATTTAAAGTTTGAATGTTTCTGCATAAATTGTTTACAAAAACATCATTTTGGCTTCCATCCAATACAGCAATTCTATTTGACAAATTATTCGGTAGAATCTTAGAAAGACTAATCACACCGTTTGACGTCTGAAATGTTATTGGCGATGCACCTTCAATTAACAAACTTTGTGTGACTTTTTGTGATGTGATCATCAGATTACGGATCATATCTAATGTCTGACCAACCTATTTCATCCAAAATCCGATAGATAAGATAAAATAAATTTAATTAACGAAACATATTCGACGAGAACGCTTTACTGCAGCCATATCAATTTTTCATTGTCCGGTCTAGACTAACTCAAACATCTTTAAATAAATTTCCATAAGGTTTCTACCCCCATATTTAAGGAATTGGAGAGTTTAAAATATATTCTAATAGACTGATTTCTATTGTTTGATGACTTCTAAATTGTAATGGGTCAATATGTTATAATGTCAGTGCCAAAATTTATTACTTATACTATTAAATGTAATGCAGTAGATAAGACGAGTAGCATGTGGTTGATTTCCAGCAACTTTCTTGTGCTATGCATTAACTAACAAACATCTTTCACACGTAATAAAGAATGAAAATAAAGAGTAGAAAGTTAGACTAATAATTCATTTTGTTCAACACTGGTGACTTTTTAGTAAGAAATAATCTATCAAAAACATTCCAAATTCATACTCGTATGAATTTAAGATGATCCCAACGAAAAACCTACCAGTAATGATTGTTGATCTGCACTATTTTGCAACATTAAATCACTCATTGGATCCAAACCTGATGTCTGTAGACCTGTTAGCCAAAAGAAAGAAATTAAGTTTAAGATACAGAGGACAACTGTACATTTATCAAATATTAGAATATATTCTTGGGTTTATTCGATAACAGGATTATGGCGAATAATATCTGATTGTTGGTATACAATGAAAATTCCCAAATAAACTTCTAAGCAACTTGTTTCGCGTACAAACTACCACAATAGGCGTTTTACTTAAATGGTTGTTTTTTAGATTTTTTTTCAGTTCAAAAATGATTTTAGTTGGTCTAGTTAATTTCCTTTTGTGAAAAAAGCTAGTAAGTCAATTAATTTTCACCAGTTTCCTATCTACCATCTAGAACACGGAAAAGGTCATTCAAATATTTTATATCTTATATTATTCAGACTTAAAAATACATTTGATTATATCTATGAAATCCAGTACCAAAACTTATAAGTCTCAGAACTATGTGATATATTAGCTCAGTACATTTCGAACAACCTGACAACATATATACTTGCTAGGAACATTTATATATGAAAAATAAAAAGTCAACTAGACAAATTAAAAATTATTGGGAAACAAAGATGATCTAAAGAATAATGTGAAAAACAATGTGAAAATCACTAAGCTGGGTAGGTCTAAGGTGAGAATAAACTGTTCTTGAATACAGAAAGGAGGTTTTAATCATTGTATAATCAGGACTTCATCATCTTTGTTCCCTCTTGTCTTCAATTTTCCTAGTTAACCTTTTATTTTTCATGTATAGATGATCTTTCAGTGTGTTCTACTTATATTGACATAAGTAGTATATGTTATTCGTGAACAGAGGATCGAACAGTAAGGAATGGAAACAGGATACAATTTGTATGAAAATGCAAGAACAATGAAGTCTGAGTCATTTTGAGACAATGGATGGACATTTTTCAAACTAAACATTTACATTACGATTGTTAGATTTTATCAACAAGTCCTGTAATTTTGTGTTGAGTACATTCGATTGTCCCCATTGGTATTCCAGTTCACTGCAATCTTAGTAAGTATGTATGTGATCAGGCGGTTCCAATTGTATTAAATTAATGTCATCTTATTATAACATGCAAATTTATCCAAGGGACTAATTGTATAGAACTAAATACTTTTTAAATGTGTTAGACTAACTCACCTGCCTTCTCGAGATCGACATTGTAATCGAGTAGAGCTGGATCTGTTGGTATATCTAAAGAGATTGGGTTATTAATCTGACTATTTCCAGCCTAAAAATAAAATTATGGTTATCTGATGGGTGAATATTCGTTATTTTGTATAAAGAACACAAATCTACCATTATATATATAATCAATATAGACTATGAAATTTATTCTGTTACCAAGGCATCTTTTTATAAATGTTACGTATCAGTGTTAGATGACACTGTGTAACACTAATAAATTATTCATGGGCAATAAGCCATATTTTGTAATTTATTTGTTAGACAAAATAATTTCACCGCTTGACCTTCATTCATAACAGATAATAACAAAAGACTTGCCAAACACAATCCGTGTAAAATAGACATCTATCAAAGGAATTTGGTTTTGGTGCATCACTGTTTATTTTCAGGTGATTGTTAAAAAAATTATGATCCAGCAAAAGATCATTTTTAATTGGAAACCTACCAAAAAGTAATTTAGGACTTACATCAGCTAAAAGAAGCGCTGATTGAAATATAGTTGAGGTCATTGTTAACAAATAATTTGTATTATCACAAGCAATTGCTTCTAGAGATTGAGTTACTTCAGTAAGGTATGTGTTTAATTTTGACTGCGAACTTCTATCCACGTCCAAGGTATTGCTAAGTATATTCTCAGTGCATGACATTGCTAAGATGAATGAATTTGAATCAGTCGGTATAAAATTGTTTACAGTATTTACCAGCATTTGAATAACCTATTCAGTAAATGAAAACAAAGAAAAACTAAAAATAATTAAGATCTAAGTATAAAGGTTTAAATTCTTAAAACCAAACAATGAATATGGTAGACTGGAGATTCTTATAAAGTTGTTATTGATTCACTTTTCACAGTGGATATCACCAGAAAAGTAAAATATTTCAGTAAAATTATTGTCTAGATTGATACACGTGATTGAAGTTAGAAATACTAGTTTCTGGATTAAAAGTCAATGATTATTAAAAAAAGATTTTACTCATAAATGATTGAGGGTGATATAATTTAAATCTAAAAGACAGTGAAGTACTGAGAGGGATCATTCCATAACATAATTATTTTCACCATTCACCAGTCTGCAATCCAAAAGCAATCAGACAAATACTGATAATATATTATTAAATAATGCAATTATGTAGCATTATATCTTATGAGTTTCAGAATTATATTTTCGACAATTAAATTGTAGTTCCGAAACTCATTACATCTCATATTAAGTAAGTAAACTTGTTCTAACTTGAATTGCGACAAAGTTACAATTGATTTTTAGCGTATTACATGAAGAGGAATATCTTTAACGATTTGTATTACAAAAAATATTTTCATGAGAAAACTAAACATTGTACTTTTATGCATCTGCTACATTCAGAAATGCCTTTTATGTTGTCAAAGAACCTTGTTTAACCAGTTTATTTCTTTTTCAATGAAAATGTGTGAAATCAGTATAAGCGGTACTGAGTTTTGGGAGATTGTAGAATTTTCATAGTTTAACTCGTAAAGTGATCTTACTGTTGGAAACTACGGATCACTAAACAGTTATCTTATCCTAATATGCAACGCCTCAACAGTGAGTAAGCACGACCTCACTACAGGAAATTAAACTCAAGGTTTTTGGTCTCGCGTAAGAAGGATTAACCTCTAAAGCACTAAGTCGGCACTCAGTGATGTATGTGTTCGACTTTAGCCAACTCACGATATCGCTCGACCATCTTTCATATTCTCTGATGGATAAGTGTATCACCCGTCACACTAGAACGAGATAGCTATCCAGTGATTCCTGATTTTTAATAATTGCCGAGCTAAGATCAGTTAGTGCTTTAAACTTTGAAAATTCTACAATCTCAAAACTATACACTGATAATAAACATATACTCACTAATGACTAGCTTCAAGATGCATCTCCCGGAATGCCAATGAGAAGTCATAACCATTTCATTTCTAATTGTTAGAAGCTCTTTAACTCAGAATAAGTGGGGTGACTGCTAAATGTTAAATTAGGCTTTGGACTATAATAGCGTATACTTCACCAAAAAATTAATGATTTCAACACTTGTCAGATCAAAACTTCGGCTTTCATTCACGAAAATGAGTCAAAAACTGTTAGCATATCTTATTGAAAACATATCTTTTCATGTAAAGTATCTGCTAAACTTGTTTAATCAATACTTTTAATCAAAATAGTTCCTTATGTACGATCAAATACTGTTTACTGATGGTAAAACTTTATAATTGTTAATTCTCATAGATCGAATGAATTAAATGGGTTCCTTATATATGTTTTAATAGTAACTTCTATTGTAATCTGACTATGTTACATAGAAATAAGGAATATAAAATAGTTATTTCCTTCCGCCCAAGACTAATCTGTTGAAATATATTATCAGGTAATCATAAATGACCAAATTCAAACTTTAGTGGTACGTTCAACCATATAAGAGGAATTAGGCGAAATAGTTTCAAAATAGAAAACGGAAACAGATTCGGCTTCATATAAATTATTATTCTTAAATATATTCATTGATGACAATGAGTGAGTTATTTCTGTTATCTATCATTTATTCCAGAACTAGATTCTATGGTCGTTCAGACTCATTTTAGCGATATCCAAAATTGATCATATTCCCCCTGATTACTTAAGGAATAAGAAATATGCATTTCCACAAAGAAAACAAAGAAAATCCATGAAACATTCATACACAAACCCTCAGATAGAGAGTTATAGTCTCTTGAAGGTATCTAACAGGCTTGTACATCTTATCATTCACCGCACAATTTTCTTAACCGGATTGTAAAAACCGTGACTAATGACCGCACGTATAAATCTGCATTCATTTTATGATAGTAAATTCGATCTTATTAATTTACTCAATAAGCGTTACTAACCAATTTTCACCAAAATGTATTATAATCAGATTATGGTTAATACTGTGAGAAGCCAATTATTCATTTTACCAATGTTGTTAATAAATAGATATTTTATAGTCATCAATGTGTTCTGACCAAAAATTCTAGGTTTAACATGAAACTGAAATAGATGCTATAACAACCAAATTTCAGTGAACATTATCACAGAATACGTCATCTTTAATTAATAATCGGATTATAGAATTCTAAATACTGATATTTTAAGTCAACCTGACATTTTAATATCACTTACCGTAGAACGTAAATCACGATTCAAAATTGCATCTGGGGTCTGTAAGAAAATAAATTGAGGTTATTATATATTATTCATAGAAGAATCTAATAAAAATTACTGTGTAGTTAACACGTTCGGTGTTTCAGAATTTTGCGTTATGAAATAAAACTGCAGTTCTAAATATGATATATATATACCCTCTTCGAGACTTATATTTACTTATTACGGTAAAATATACACTGAGGTCCTAAACACCATTATAAGCAAGATAGACGTTGTTTGCATAATTCAACCTGTTTGCTGACCGTTGTCTACCTACATACAATAGATAAAAAGAATAAACGCTTAACAGACGAAATCAATTATAATCTCAGTAATTTGACTGGAGAAAAGTTAACTAACAAAATGTTTTGTCTTTCATTTACACACTCTTATGATGGATATTTGTGGAAATGCATTTTGAGGAAAGGTTCGAATTCGGATTGTTTTAAGTCTCGATCACAGCTTTTCATGTGGCTACACAATTTTAGTGAGATGAAGCTACTAGACTTTCTTCCAAAGAAAGTGAAATTAGTAAAAAAAATTGGGTGATGAAAAACATAGGGACATTTGATAGTATAATCAACATTGTCATGATGAGTATCATGGTCATATTAGAACTGAATAGATCTCAAAGAATTAGACAAACACTCACATTTATATAGAAGTAACTTGACTAATTAATCAGATTGAAAAATATTAAATTATTTTTTTCAAGTTACAAAATAGTGAAATACAAATGTTTATTAGATTCATTACACTAAACAATCCCATTGATTGAAAGATATACGTCAACTGTTGTATCGAATGTTCAACTGATTACTTTATAAAGGAAAGAATATATCATCATAAGCTGAAATAATGAAAATCTCTCGTTAGCCTACTTACTGTTCAGAGAAATAAATAGTTCAAAATTTCATTTTAATTCGAGTTTTTACTAGAAAGTAAAACCAACCATATTCTTTGGTGAAACATTTCACAAATTAACATTTATTAGCTGTGAGGCTTAGCTACATTTCCTTCAAATAAATAGGATTTTATAACCCATAACTACTGAGAAAATCAGTTCAGATAAGACCAAAGATAATAATATATTTAATATCGAAAACGGAAGGGCAATAAATGATATGAGTAAAGTAAATGGAGACATAATTTATTTGGTTATAAACATTCAGACACGTATTTCTGTAATTTGTCTCCTGAATTATTATTGATCAGTTTCGTTGGATTCATCCTAAACACCCAACCATATCTCACCACCTAAACTGAACAGAATAATACTGGTTTGATACACTTAAACGAATTAAAGATTGATTACACATAGAATATATGTCTCTGATTTGTTTGAGCGAAATTTTGATTTTTTTTCCGTAAGATATGATTTTATTCAAAATAGTCATGTATTAACTAAAGCCTGGCACAAATCCTTAATGCTGATTAAGCTTTATTGATTTAGTAATGCCAAGACTGAATCAACCATACTACTATGTCAGTGACGGTCAGCTGCATAGCGCGTATCATTAAATGCATTTAAGAACCAGCTTTAAATATCTATAAGAGCAAAGTTTTCTCAAGCTTGATAAAATTTAATTAAAACGAGACTTATTTAGCAGGCTTGTTGTTGTCTGACTTCAAGTACTCATTAAAACCAAACTACAGGGATAGAATTGAAAACTGAAAACACAATTATCGAGTCATCAAGACATTCTATTCGTTGATGCACAAAATACAATTATTTGTTAATTAAATTGCCGAACGCATAATTGTGATCTCTGAAGTAAATCATTGTTGATTAGCCAGAAAATTGTCGGGAGTTGACATATTTATTCATTTTAGCAATTTTATTGGATTACACTCTTCTATCACATCATTCTAATACAATTAAGTGAATGATATAAAGAATTTGATGTTTTCATTAACCTATGCCTACAATTAACACAGCTAGCTGAGGTGTTCAATTTATCATGCATTATAAATGATGATAAGTAAATAACTATTCTTCAGGTTGATATTACAAATTATTTTATTCATAAAAATATAACTTACATTATTTGCACCAGCGGAGTCTGAAATAAGTGAACAAAAACAGAAACAATTATTGAACCGTATACTGTTATACAAAAACCGAAGTACAGTCTTGAATGTTTTAGACTCTAAATATGTTTTTTTGAAAGAAACCTGTACTCATAGCTTCTACAGAAGTGAAATAATGGCCTGTTTAATTAGTGAATTATTCACTGATTGCATACTCTGATTGAATTTAGAATATTGCGATAGAGGTTGTGACCAGTTAAGTTTGCTCAAGTGAACATATTCAGAAAGTCTCGGTCATACAGAATTTTCTGCCTTTTTAGAAAATTTTGGGGAAGTATTTATATAAAGCTGAAGGATCACATGTTGCCTCTGAAACTTATGTCTAAATATTGCTTCGCTGATAACATAACATCTATTCTATAACATTATTAGTTAAAATAAGTTAAACAACTAAGAATTCGATTATGTAGCTTTGGTGAATAACACTGTTGAAAAGAAAATTTCTTTTCTCTGATCCGTCTCATTCTTTTTAATGATCCAATTGGTTTCTTTTGCTCTTTGTGTCTAAAATTTGCGATTAGTATTACTATGGAACCAACAACTATAAAAAGGTCATTCCTAAGCATTGCTTGCTTTGACAGTTTATGATTTATATGATAACTAATAACGTTTTGGTTTTCCATTTACCAGTTATTTATCCATATAATTATTGTCAAACTTGAATTGTCTCAGATAACAGTGATCATAGACAAACCCTATTTTGATACAAAAGTTTTGTTATGACACAGCTCCCTCCTTACGACATTTACACTCTCTACTACTTTAGTGAATTCACAGAAGGTAAAACTTGAATAGTCTGGTAGAGTTTAGTCTTATTTTAGTTTGCTTGGTTGATTTACCAAACAGCGAGGTGTCGCACAGCCGGTAACATAAACAGTTTGTTACTCGTATTTATTAAAATTTAACACGACAAACTGGAATGGGCTTATAGTACCTGTGGGGCATCTCGATTCAAGTGTTCTCCTACACTTAAAAATTAATCAAAAACCAAGTAGGATATTTCCAGGTGTTCCACACTGGGTTAACTAGTTTCTGGTTGGATGCTGAAATGTTCATTCATTGGAATTTAAACTAAGATAAAATTAATAAGAGAATCTGCACCTATTCGTTGTCGTAATCTAAAGTTATTGATTCAAAAATTATACTTTCATTAGAACAGAATAAGGGTGTGAAGTTTTGAGCCTGATTAACACAACTCGTCGAGTGAATAGTGTTTATTACAGTTTATACTTACTCCGAGTTTCAAGAGTAGAGAACATTTGCACAGCAGATGCATAACTGGTAACTAGATCAGCACTTTCTGTCAACTGTCCAGTAACAACCAATCTGTTTAATTCGGTTTTTTTGTCTTCTACAAGTGATTGTATTGCGGCACGCATAAGATCCAGTGATTTTGCTCGGACCTACAAACAAAAAAATGTTAACCGATGCTTTCTATGACATTCTTAGTGACAGTAAGAATAGTAGTTATAGGTCCAAACCCAAAGCAAAAGGAACAAATGACAGTTTTGATTTAAATTTTGATCACTGCCGGCATGCTGAACCTCTTGAACTGTATTTTGATCTTCACTATAGTTTTGTTGATAGTTCGATCTGCCTTCATGAAATTCAAAGAGTTTCATGTTAGTTATGAAGCATATAACTTATGGTCTCGATGCATTACAAGTGATGGGAAGGTAATCATTAGAGCTCTCGTTATAAAGAAATATTGGTTAAGTTCTATTTAACTTGAAAGTCTTTCTACTAGTATTAACTTATGAAGCCAATAATTTCTTATTCTAAAAGAGCACTTTGATCTTTTAATTCATTCAGGTACATTTTACATGTTTCTTCGACGTGTAAACTTAGATTATTCACAGTACATTATCAATTTTATAAAGAAGCCTGGTAAACACACAATGTTTCTATAGATACTCAAACGTTTGTAGAAAGTGAGATGTGATTGTTTCTACTTAGTAGTTTTAGATGTAAAGTTCAAAAGATATCTTTGCGACTTTTTCATTTAGACGTTTTATGTTAGACTGTTGGACTCTGAGAATGTACATAAAAATACTTCTTAATGTTCGAAATGTGATGCATTATGAACAGTCAGATAATTAACTATGCTCGTCAATCGTGACCCTGAAACATTGATTATCTGGTTAATTTTTCATAAACATAATTACTAGTTTTTTGTTTATCAATGTAATGCATCATTAAAAGGGAAGAATCAATAAATAAATAAAAACTTACGAATATATTCGCATAGCATACTTCTATTGAACCCCCAAATTTATCAGAAACATAGACACAAGCATCTAGTGGACTGTACATATAAGGTACAATGAAACAAGTTGTAGGAAGATTTTCACTTGCAAGAGCAATTTTGATGAATGAATTCGTAACTAGTAAATAAGATTGTTGAAGAATATATCAAATAAGTATAAAATTTGAAAAAGAAGTGAATTAATTAATTTTGCAATAATTTTTTTCTATGTTAAACTCTTAATAGTGTTTCACTAACACTGGAATCTAACTATTAGTTGTTAAACGTGATTTGACTATCAGTGATAATAAATAGCTAAAGTGGAGAACTATTATATGTTTGTAAAATCACTTATTTAAGGGTTTCTCCTCATAAATGCAACTATCAATAATCTAATATTCTATCAAATTTCGTAAACATCTTTCATTAGTGAAAGGAATTCAGTCGTCAAACTAATACTTGAAAGAGATCAAAATAAATATTCTACTCTTGATATAAGTATGTAAAATTGTATTTTTCAGTACATTAACTTATTATAACCATGGACATCTTTGATAAAGAAAATTCATCATCATAGCAACTATAAATTATTGAAGAAACATATATTTAATGGTTATGATGAAATATTTCTCATTCTTGAATTTCATCGATGATTCAACTACTAAATAACTTTCAGTTATACTCTTAAAAAGTGTAAATATTCAGTTAACAATAATTCTGTAAAGAATGATTATCGAGGAGTTCAAATATTTCATTGATGAATGTATTTATAACTCACCAACTAACTAGTGGAAGTAGTCATGGACTTAATCAAACATCATGACTTAAAAAACACAAAAACATGATTATCTTTACTCTTAACTACAAAATATTTCTACCATCTAAATTAAAAACTAAGAGATTAGTTACCATTTAAGTTCCTGGTAAAAAGATAGTTGAATTAAAAATTCAATAATGTGTACTAGCTCCCTCTTTTTTAATAACTGTCATCGATTATTTATATAAATATTGACCGTTTCCAAAAGAAAAAAAAAAGTGATATAGGACATTGATTTAAGACTTACACTTTTCATAATCAGGTTATTCTGTCTTGAAAAATAAAAATTTACGTAAATTGATGAAAAGTTGGTTATAAGTTACATAACACTTTCTTTATACTCCTACTGCTATTGGGATTATATTGATATCAAGAAGTTTCTTTACTATTGTCTAAGATAAAATTATACTCAGACTGAGATTTCATACCACGTGTATCACGCTGGCGTTTCCTTATCTATTGAAAACCATTTTCAAATAATTATAGATTATTAATTCTTTAGAAGGACAGTGTTCTGTGGTTGTTGCTACATTTTTCTCCGTGAATCCCTTTATACTTTTCTTTTGTTCTCTCAATTAGGTATACTTTAAAATATTGGAATTCCGAATCTTTCAGTAGAAGCCAGTCAATTTTCCTATATTCATCTAACAGCTGATTTTCTATTGGTCATTTAGTTGTTGTCAGTAAACAGATTACGGTTCATAGGTGTGAGAAAGTTCAAATCAGTGCGTAAATAATCCTTTTGATAAGCATGAAATGCTTGAAAAGAGTTGTTAAAAAATTTAAGCGAATATTATTGATAAACTATTTATTAAATCATAAAAACAATGGTCAATGACTTACGAAAGAATGTATATGTCAGTGGACTAACAATACTAGTGAAGTTTACGCAGTTTACACACATATTTGTATCGTTTAAAGTATATGTACATATACCCGGTGTGGGTCTTGGCAAATACTTGAATCGTAAACAAGATGTTCCTATGTCAGTATTTTTAGTTAAGGTAACACATACAATACATCCTTTGACATCATTTGACTTATTGATAAAATACCCTTTTTTTATTCGCCATGATGATGTAAACGTCCCTGTTTAGATAAAACAGAAAACAATAAGGCATGGTAACAATGAAGTAACAAAAATTGAAGCTAGTAAATAGAACAGGCTTCTAATCGTAGACTCTTGAACACTTCAGGGAAATTTTACTTAAATATACCTAGTTATTTATAGAGTAAAACATGTGATACCTATTTTGTTTGAAGAGCACATTACAACTTAAAAGAAGGAACTATATAGTTCTGATAATCTTCACCTTCTCATTGCATCATCCAAATTTATCATAGAGATATAATGCTATTTTGTTTTAGTCTTTATTCGAATTATTCTGAGGCAATCGGTGTTTCTAAAAACTACTGAATGGTTATTTTTAATCTGGTAAGGTCAAAAATAATTATCTAGTAACTGAGAGAAATTTAATTTTCCTACTTACCTTCTGTGTATGTATCTTGTTGAACTTGATCGAATGGTAAAAGTGTGCCGTCTGAACGCATTTCTCTAATATTCCATTTAAATCTCATATCAGGGCTTAGGGTTCCAAACTCTATGAAAACTGTTACATAAAGATCATCTGATTCAGAAATGAACCAACTGGTTAAATTTGATGAGTCAAATTCTAGATTGTAGCACAGATAAGGTATGCTGCATCTATAATTGTGTTTAAGTAAGAAATGTAAATGAGAAAGGTTGTTAATTGACTGTAGTTTTTCACAAAACATAGAAAACAAGTACATTTTCAGGTGTGTTTCAGTAGTTAGAACATTCTCCTCTAATGATTTAGCTATCAGTGAGCATTGTATTCAAATTCTCCTTTCGTTTTATAGTTGATCTAAATTGTCCAAATAAGATGTCTGTCGTCAGACTGTCATATCATTTCAAAAGAATTCAATTTTCGAATGATCAAAAATAAATATGATGAAAGAGCAATTTTCTTTAAATCACCATTTTATTCACTTAAGAATAACCACAAATTTCAAATGTACTATATTTTAATTATCTAGAGTGATAAAACCTTTCATGAAATACAAGTATGCACTGTTTAACTTTGATAGAACTCACAAATACGTTTCAATATGTGTCTGCAATTTAATAGTTAGATATACATATTTACTCTAATCATTAATCCAAATCATTTTGAAACCACTTGAAGACAAGGTTGTCGGACAGGTGTCTATTGTTCTTTTATTAAACTTATTAGGAAGTAGGGCCGAATGATCGATTGAAATGATAGACTGGATGCACCCAAGACTGCCAAATAAGATAAAAAGCACAAGGGATTGCACATCAAACATTTTCTATCCTCCAATGTGTTTCCTTACTTTCAGTTTAATCAATACCGGAAAACTATTACAAACTAGAATTTGTCCATAACTGTATACACCATATTAGATTTAAAATTATGATCACCTTGAAATGAAAGCCTCCAGAAAATGGTAATATCAAATTTTTATAACAAATGAGTTTAGTGTTACGATTATATTAATTATTTTACAAATTTAGTGTGTTTAACTTTCAATAGAATGTTGAGAGAAGCCGAAAGAGTCCGATAAAGATTAGTGGGATTTCATTTCAGCTAAGTTAGATATGTTTCAGTAACTAATATTAGTTGGTCGAAGCTATTAACTTTGGTTGGCTGCACTAGCACCTCATACCTATACAAGTAAGCCGAAATTCATGACTCATGTTGGTTATGTTGCATAACTAAACAGAACTAGCTGTCTTGTTTCACGTTTAAATATCCATCACGAACTCTTCACCAACGTTTTTTAACTTCAAATTGATGATAATTTAACTTGACAGTCGATAATTATCACTTTTAACTCTGTAATCCCATTTTTAAAGTTAATTTCAAAGATCACCGTTTATTATAGATTAGGTAAATATTCAATCACAGAAGCAAACTGAAAAACTTTCTATCATGTTCTGGTTTTTCCCTAGCATCTTTAGCTGAAGTCACTTTTCCGAAAACTTTGTTTTATTAATTTTTTTTAGCGACATTAACAGAACTTCATTGTATGCTAATGAGAAAAGTTAATTTTATTCCAGTGATCAAAAACATGCCTTATTGTAAAGATTGGGGCTACTTCATTTGTAATCAACAGTTGCATTGTAGCTTTTCCAATCCGTTTGGGTGGTTTACTGCCGATGACTGTAACTTCATATGTTTTATTTATTCTAAAGTTTTCCGTTGTAAAGCACAGAGTACCATTATTTGTATCAATTACTCCTGGACCATCACCAAAGCAACCAGTATAGTATGCATTGTATTGATAACCCGGAGGTTTGGGCAAAATCAACTTTCCTGACAGTTCTTCACCGACTTGCCTGCAATACCATATCCAAGATCCGATACCCTAGAAAAAGTAATATAAGGGCTGTGTTATATAACTATTTCATCATAGATTGATGATGTGAAATTCAAGAGATCTAATGATTTGACCATTCACCTTGAAAGTAATAATACCCACATCTGAATACATAGAATATGGATAAAAAGAAAACAAAATCATCTGATTTCAAACGTCGTTAGAATTCTTTAGCGTTTGGATGAATATGTTAGACTACAATTCATTAGAGAACGAGACTAAATTATTGGGGAGAAGAAGGGTAATTAAAGAAACAAATAGCGACATATACTTATAGTGTGGCTTTAATCTAGATTACTCATATGGTGAGCCAATCAGAATGTAAACGGATGGTAATCAGAAGTGGCCTGAAAGACAAGTGCATATCATTGGCTAAGAAATGGATATATATATATATATATATATATATATATATATTTGTGCGGCCCAATACACTTTCTCATCCACTCTTTTGCTCGAGCTTAAATAGTCGGTTGAGGTGTTAGTGCGTAGCACGTCAGTATCAGATCTCGGACACCGCTCATCATAACAATTCCCGCTTTCATTGAACTGACTATCGGCTTCAAACATGAGTTCCCTATATCTATTAACAGTATTTCAAATATTTAAATAAGAGTTTTTTCTCTGCTCATCATTCGGTGCCTAGCTTAGAATGAATAATTTCACTACAATGAAATATGCTTCTTATCAGTTTGATTGACTAATTATATATATGGTCATTTGCAATTAGTAGACTGACCTAACTTCACTTGTTTTCATTCATGTCTTTTTTAATGGGATGATCAAACTCCAATCTCGAAGGTATTTAAGAAACACCCAAGTTGTCGAAACTATCTAAGATAACTACATACCATAGACCAACGAAATTACTAGAAAGCCGAATAACAGTAGATTGTTTTCACCTGTAGTAAAGAGTGACCATTCATCTGAATGAGAATTTTGTTTGTTCGAGACTCTTTACAAACAACTACAAATCAGTCAAAACAATAAGAACATTTTATTTCCATGGTGGCCAATGAAAATTTGAATTCCAGCATAATTCGCTGTTTAGTTGAAGAGTTATGATGTAAACTCATATCCCTAAGCTTTTCATTATTCATACTTGTCTCTCATTTGGACATGTTTATAATTATAGGGTTACTAAAATGAAAATAAACAAAATTTCGAATCAGTTAGACCCATTGAAATCTTTTATATTATCTGGATCAATGTCCCAGAACACCTGAAGTCAATCACATTTTCACTCATAATTGATGACATTCATTATGCTTTAGAAATAAAAACAAGTTTGTTCAGTTCAACGGTAACAATTTTTTATACTGCAAATTGAATATAACTTATATACAAAGTATTTGATTTCTTAACTCAAGCATACATTTTATCATAGAGATCATGGATATAAATCAATTATTTTGTCTAATAAGTTAGTACTTTATAGTTTCTTTTTTGAAACTGAATCATCTGTGAAATCTAACTAAATATTGTATAGCTGTTTAGTCAAAATAACTGAACTTTACAATAAAATATATGACATACCTGTGGAACGTTTACATTATTCAAGGCAGGATCAAGCGAATAAACCTCAGGTTTTAAGCATATCTCATTAATAGATAAATCGATTGTCTTGCTGATCGGATTACCCACATCGAACTGAACTAATAATGGTGGTGGGACAACTATTATATATGCGCTTTCTGAGACAATATATGGTACTCCTTGAGGTGGAGTAAAATACACTGAACACGTAGCTTTGTATGGCCCGGGTGAAAGAAAATTAGCAGGTAAACCAAGTCTTAGTGTTTTGGAACTAAGTTCTTGAGATAATGAGATTGGTCCTAATGTTTGTGTGGTATCTAAATCAATGGAGTATAAAGTCCATAGTTTCTCATTTGGTACTGATAACAAACAATTTGGTACGGTAAGTATTGCTTCAATATTTATGATTTCGGAGGTAATTGCTTTAATTGGATAAGTTGTTAATTGTGATGATGCATTCGACATAGATATTTTAGGTGGAGGACACGTTGAAAATGTAACAGGGATATATAATTTAGTATCGACTATTTCCGACGCACTAATAGCCTGGATAGACACATACTGAGGTCCGCTTGAACCATATTGAACACTTAATGAGAATGTCAGATTGACTGGTGCATCTTGCAAACGTAAGTAACTGGGACATAATGAACAGAAAGATGTTGGATCTGTTAATTTCGGATAATAAACTGGACCAACTCCATCTGATTTTTCTATGCACAAACACGCATCATTTGGATAGGCTTCAAATGAAATACGTATTATACCTTGTTGATTTGGTTCCAACATACCATTACCGACAAGATAAGCTTTTAATCCACGTATAGAAGTCCTAATTGAAATTTCTTTTGAAATTGATTTCGCGCTCACTGGATTTGAAGCCAGTACTACAATATTATATTCTCCAAACTAAATTTTAAAAACAATTAAGAATGTTAATAAGTGAAAGAAAAAATCATTCTATTATCATTGTTGAAGTCAATTCGTTTTACAAATATTCTTTCAAATAATTTCAATCGTTTAAACTGCAACTAAACATAAATCGTGATGAACTATGACCTATCATAGAAAAGGAAAGTCTTTTAGACCTCTCAATGGTAACTTGTGAGAAAAATCAGATTAAAAGTTATAATAAATGATTAACGATAATGCTAGAGAAATACTAACTTACATCATTAATCAGAAAATAGGCATATAGGAAATATCAACTATTGAGTTTCTACAGAATATTTTGTTGAAAACACTTCATATAATGCAAAACAGAGCAAAGCAAATGTAGCATGATTACTGATCATTTTTGTAGTGAAACTAACTTCATACTAATCTGATTTCAAAAACGTACTAATTAAACGGTTTAAATGGACTTCTATTGTCAGTAGATAATATTCTTGATAAGATACGATTTACATTGCGCATGAATTTTGGATCGCCTGGTTCCAAGCAAATTAGTTTCGTCACTTATCACTAATTAATGTTGTTTGATCCTCTATTTGAACTAACATTAAAATGAACTAAAACCTTCAGACAGTAACTTGGTTGAAAAAATATATTTCAATTCGGAAGTCATTGAAAACTGAATAAGCTTTAATCAATTATTTATCTTGTTACGGAGCACTACGATAGAACAGAATAAGGTATTTTTGATAGCATATTGGAAATCAAAACGTCATTACTCAAGAGACCATGTCAAGAATTTTCACGTTTTGTAGTGCTGGTGATTAACTGCGAAAAGAATTCCCAGAGTCCGAATAGTAGTGACCACTATCCAATAGCTGATTCACATACTTATATACAGGTTTAGAGAGCGACAAACCAAAAGCGCCAAAAATGAATGAATTTTAGTAATCTTCATAACCATGAGGTATAGTGTATTGAACGGGAATGTAATCGATTAGGAAGTGCATCAACATCACACAAGTGTATAGACTTGTCTAACTGTTGATGCAACTGTTGTTGCAATAAAGCAATAAAGCCTGGTATGTTCAATTCTAGGAATTCCGAGGTCAACGAAATCCATGCATCAAAATTACTTACAAGTAAATATTTAGCTTTGCTCATTAAAACTCAGTAATCATCATGTTACAATTATCCTATATCCTTGTTTGTTCCAGTATATAGTCGTTCAATGTGAACCGATAGTTCCATTAAATCATTTGAATATACTATCAGAGTAAAATTCCAGCAATGCAACTGTTTCGCAACGTACTCAAATGCACCAATGCTTTAGTACTTATGGATGTTGACCCTGGTCAGTTAGTTTCTAATCCTATTAATGTTAATAATATATATGTTCAGATCATGTTCTGCCTGTGATTCACTGGAAAGGTATTTTTTAACCTTTGAAATAATCTGGTATTAGTTTGAGTAAATCTGAACAATCGAAACCCATATTTCAGGATTACGATCAGATTAAATAATTAGGAAGATTTTTCACTTAACTGATTATTCATTCTATTGATAATACCGACTAATTACTTTTCGGTATTTCATTGTAATTCCTCTTGATAAAAGCTGTATTCATAAATTAACACACAGATACAAGACAGACTAGATTTTTTTTAAAAATTTAAGATGCCAAAGTGTCATAATGTAATCAACAGTTATCTGAATGTGATCACACAAGAAACTTCTTTACTTACAAGACTTCACCGTACTGAAATAATAATGCGGTCTCCTTAATCTATGAACATGATTTCTCTAAAATTAGTGACAACACCAATCTTTTTACATGACTACTCTAAGTAGTTAAGTGACTTTTTAATAATAGATTGTTATTGTTATTATTAGCTTTACTCAGTATTATATTTTTGGTACAATATAGAATTCGCAGCACAAGGTATTTCTCATTTTTTGATCGATCCTCACGTTAAATATTGAGTGATCGCCAATTAGGTATTAGTGGTTCAGAAATCGACATTTGACTAGTGAACATTCTTTTGAACGCATAATGCTAACAATCACGATGTCTCTGATTGGGATTTTTCGTATAGCGAAAGATCGTAAACTTTTCATAAACGCACCTGAACAGGTTATACGATTAATGGACATAATGATGTGTTTAAAAACCCAGGTAACTTGGTGAAATATCTAGATAACAGAAACAGGTAGCCCAGAAATTCAAGCAGACTGCCAATCCTATAGATATTGTCAGATGGCGACAATTTCGTGCATAGAAGAAAGGACTATTCATAACTACACACAAAACATATTTACTTTATCTATTAGTGGATTTCGACAGCCAACCATTTGCAGACTTTATTCCAATCTTAAAAAACCTTAATTCTACAGGAAACTATGACCTTCATAAAACATGCAAAGTTTATTTTTGATAATCAACAAAATGACCGAATTTCAAACTAACGTGTATTCTAGTAAATACTTATCAAAAAATTCATATGTACTTGCTATGTACTTTATCCATTGAAACCTACCTTAGTAAATGTGTAGAAAAAGTAATTATTCCAAACAGTTCCTGAGTCCAGTATGAGATTATTAGTTTTATTTATAATTGAATAAGTGATATTAGCCACATTATTTGGCTTTCCATTTGCAAGCACTTGGAATTTTAATTGAACTCCTAGTGGATAAAAATTTCCATCTGCTCCATAACCAGGATCACCAGTAGATGCAACTGTTATTATCAAATCAATTTGTTGGAATAAACCAAAAGCGGCAACCTAGTTACAGAAACGATCATAAAGAATTTTAATAAATTTGATTTATTTAATGTTTTCTTGTAAGCTATATCTTGCTGAAACCAATGGATTTATTGATATCAAGAACAACTTTATATTACGTAATTATATAACTAGTCCTGCCTGATTTAACTATTTGGGGAGTATTCAAAATAACAATATTTTACTTCTACAAATATCTTGAAAGGATAATTAACCAGCAATTCGTATATCAGAGTATAACTTACGATCTACTAAATCTGATAACCCGAAATTTGATAATCTGACTGATATTTACACTATTTAATAGACGATAGTGAGTATCAAAGCTAAGTATACCTTAAAATAGATAATTAAGATTGTTCAAAACGAAAACTTTAACCTGATGTTTTTCATAATCTACCATGTTTACAGTAGTCGATCAAAACTAGCAAAAACTGCTTTAACTCCTTGATCGGTAAAACTTATTGCCATACAAGTCGAAAACATTAAAAAAAAGGTTCTGTCACTTTCTCTACCTTTGTTGCTTTTAAATCCAATAAGCTAGGAGTCATCTCTGTGATATTAAATGGTCAACATATGCTATATATTTTCACAACTCATATTTATCTGATTTAATTGTTTTGTCTTGACCAACTCATATTATTTCATACAGTCAATGATCTCTCGCGTAACATACGATATAAGGCATTGATTATCCTATCATTTCTCAAACCTTATATTGCCTAAATTTGTTCGATTATGATTCTTAAAATTCTATTTCACTACCAGTTTGATTGAAGGGAGCTTTACACATTAGTCAGTTCCGCGTTAAAGATAATTTCAAGTTGAAATTCCTTGATTTTAAAAATATATTTGCCTTGGTCATTTTCTTATCAGTAATTTGAACTCACAACTATGGATTAGGTTGTGCTCACTTTTATTAAACATACGATTTGAAGAAAATCTTAATATATAAGGCAACAACCATAAAATAATGTGGACTTACCTGAGTATTTTTCGTCATGGTACTTATAACATTGTCCAAGGTGACAGAAGCTTGAAAGTAATTTAAATCAGCTAAAACGTGACTAATTTTTTGTGGTTGATTTGCCAATGTTAACATTCCTTCTGAGGGTGCACTTCCATCTCCCCATACCACATTATATTTAGCTAGTGTTGGAAAATTGGCAGCTATTCCAGTGTATGTTAAAGTAAATGTGACAGATCCTGAAATATGAAGCATTATATTTGGTTGTAAAGTTAGAATTTTGGAAACATTTTTGGTAAATGACATACAGCTGACTTATGAACTATCATTATTTTTTAGCATCTGCGATCTTTCCAACTGTTTTCTTAGATACTGAAATACTTCACTGTGCTACAAAAATCTATCATAAATTACAATATCGTTTTCAATATTGTATGTTTGGAAGTATTTAAACGTCTAAATGTAAATAATGTGTAAATGCCAGTTATGCCGTCGGTAGGTGGTATACAATATCACAGTTAGCACTGACTTAGCAAAACACAATAGTGGTGTTCTAAGTAAAATCATTTGTCAAAACGATAGGCTTAAACAATGCTATTTAGTCCTAAATAAGAAAAAAATGACCAGGTAGCAACTATTTTAACCCCTAAAGTTGTAAAATGAATGAGTATAATAGGTATTTTCATACAGACAACTTCATGTTTTTTAGTAAACCTTGATAAAGATTAGTTTTACTCATTTATTATGAAATTATTTCAACAATGTTTAAATAATACAAGGATTCTGTTCTTCAATTTAACTTCATCAATGACTAAGCTGATCAGTTTAGCATCAAACAGAGCTGATTAATGAAATTCAGTCTATAATCCATATTAGGATGATGTATTTAAATGTATAATATTGAACAATTGAACAAATTCTTTTTAAAACTAGAGATCAGGCAAATCAAAATTATCAAATGATTGTTGAGTTTAAATCTATTGAACATTTTCCACTCAACATTCACACTTTTGTATAACTCTACTCATGTTCTCAAGAAAGTAAAACAAAAAAACATGGTGTTTATCTAATTCTAGTACAGCATTCACAATATGGATATAGGCATATCTAAAATGTAATACCTTTACAGGAATTATGACTTAGCTAATAATAATACCATGAATAAGTTTTACTTGTGAAAAACATCAATTAATTCATCCATCAAAATTCTACTTTCAATAGTTTGAATTAACAAAATATTTCTAATTAAATTTTCAAATTTAATCTTCATCCATACATTAAACAATAATAATAATAATAATAATAATAATAATAATAATAATAATAATAATAATAATAAGGGGTAAATCAGATACTCACCAGGTGGGTATACTGCATGACCGCCATATGCGATATTCATATTTACTATTTTATTCCGAACATCAACTATAAGTGAACATGACTGGTTGCTGACTAAATTCTTTGCTTGTATTTCCTCATAATACAAACCGGCAACAGGATAGTTGTAATTTATCTCTGTTAATTTAGGTGCTAAAATGTATTTTTAAGTTAAAATACCGGTTAGTATTAATACAAATGAACTGATTACCTAATTTTCAATAACTTAGTCATTTTGCCCCCTTCATTTAAACATGGACGTCAAACAAACCAGCTTTTCGGCAAAAATCTGTTTCCATTTACCAGAATATCTTTTCACTTCTATGTATTATAATTTTTGCTACGTTATTCATCTCATTGAGAAAAAAACTGTTGACTAAGTTGTACAATGTTTTGGAGAGTAAGATAATTTTCATTGAGTCGTCAGTGTCTGTAGACAAAAGAGGCTAATTAAAAAACCCTTATGTATCTCAGTTGGTATCCTTTGGATATCAACAGTAAGGCGTGTTCACAATGTGGAGAAGATGTGTTTCTGTTCTTTGTCGGTCTTATTACCAAACTCATCACCATGATTTGTCGCACTCTAACTACCTTCTCCAATCATATGTTTGCAAATATGAGAAGAAAAGCAGTCACAAACAAATTCATAAGGATCGACTGATTTAACTTGTGTGAAGCAATTTTCAGAAGTTCACGTGTCCACGAAGTGGTCCTTTATGGTGTTGCATGTTTATGATGTGATGCATCTTTAGACATGCAGTTATGATTTTCTTTACAGTTATATTATATCATCCACTTCTCTTGGACTAAACTGAACAAAAACGAGGTTCTTTTTACTTTGGAATTTCGTATCAGTTTCACTTCGCTTGAGTGACCAAATTAACAACGGAAAACTTATCTCTTACTCTGAAAAAAATAATTATTTATCTTGATTCGTAACGTTTATTTGAGTAAATTATTGTTCAGAAAGCCTCAAAATACAACATCACACTAAATAAATCAAAGATTACTGATTTAATTACAGGATGATGTATACATTTTTTTAAGATTATACAAAAACGAACATGAATTTTGTCACAATGGTTTGCAACAAACATATTTGATCATACACTTTGAGACAGATGCATCATACATTTATGAGAAATGTTCGCAAAAACTTCAAAATTTGTAAAATTCCCTAGTGATAGCAATAGATCTGATTCATTTAATACAATTGTTGTAAGCAATTCACTGATCTAAGGTGGGGGTTTTTTTAAAAAGGGCAGCCTATGTTATCAGCTTAGTACAAGTATGACTCTTCAGAAAATTCAACAGTATAAAACTAACCTGGTACGTTGATTTGTTTGGAATCTGTTCGGTTATTTAACAAAGCATTGATGATGACATCTTGTGCACTTTTATAAACCACTGAAATCACTAACAGTTTTCCTGTCTCAACTGGATTTGGTGCAGCTTGACAACCAAAATCTTCAATTCTTGCTCTAACTTTAAGTGTGGTAACAAAAACTTTTTGGTCAACTGGATTTGTAAGTAAAGCGGTAACTCCGAAATCTCCCTCACTTTTGTAAATATGACTATAAACAGCACCTTCGCGGAAATCGTCTAGGGTGAACTGACTGTTATCGCCCCAGTCTAAGCTTATTTTAGCTAACACTGCAGGATTTCCAGATTGCCTTGTTATCTTCAAAGTTACGGGATCGTAAACAGCTACAAATTCAGTAATGGCTTGAGCTGCGTAAACCCCAATCTTATCAACTACATAAACCGTGACTGTCCTGTTCTCTGTATTACCCCCTGAGGATGCTGAAAACGTCACAGTGTACTCACCGGCGTTTAAATACTTTTTGGTCAACTGATAATCCTTTGGCCATGTTTGCAACTGCATAGCGGATTGCTGGACTACTTCACCGTCCCCATAATTAACAGTCAAAATGATTGATGTGCCTTCTTGAAACGAAACACGAAAAATCATGTTTTGAGAAGGGCCAGCGTAACTGTTTAAGAGATGAAGAAATTGAATACAGCGATCAGTTAAGCACAATCATAATTGAAGTTTCAAGCAAAGTCTTTTTTTCCCTTGTGTCTAACTGTTAAACGCTAAGCAAAATTTTGTTTCTAAAAACCTACTCAAATTTTAAATGAGATTACTTCAAGTAGTTGGAATTAGAAATCTTAAAAACAATATTTATTTTTATTTGGACTTGACTCACAAATCTGTAAAAATGTTTTTATAATCTCTAGTTAATGTTTAACACTTACTGATAGTTAAAAGACTTATGTATGATTATGTAACTGCATAATCATTCTAGAAAGTAATCGTGTTTTTTGAATGATGTTGGTTACCAGTTTATTGCAGTTTCCAAAGTAATTTCATCTCATTCACAGTTAGTTTGCATTTAGTAATAAACTTAACTTTCATCAGTTACAATGAACAGAAAAATATATAAGTCGATTTATAAATGAACTAGTAGTGAACGAACATTGAAATAAATAGTGATAATCTAAATTTTGTTTCAAAATAGTGAACTTTGCTTTGGCTGCTTCAGAACAGTCTCACTCTCGTATATGTAGATTAACGTCCAAACTAATTTGAGTAATAACTTGAAAAATCGCTTTCTGTCACATAAATGGCAAACCTTGCTTCAGATGATTATGTACTACCATACATATGTTATCTTTAGCTGTACTATCGAAGAAAATACTAACATTGTGATTCAGAATGATCAAATAAAGATACATAGCATATTTGTTACAAGTTCTTAGTTAAAGCAACTATATTTACACATTTAAAGAAGGTTGTATCTTCTTCCGTAAAATTTTGTAAGAATATATCGTCACATATCTTTTACTGCTATATATCAAGAGTATAAAAGCTGTTTATCACAAGTGTTTTTTTCCGAGTTATCAGGTTGTGCTTGCTTAATTGACGTTTGTGCCGAATCTATAACTAATTTTCATAAATTCAAAATAAAAAAACTACAAAATTATTCTTTTGGACAATATACTTCATTTACAGTATGAATGTTTCCAGAACATAGTTTTTCATAAATCAAAAAATTCCTCATTAAAACTTACTTTGGCTCAACTTGTATGCTCATGCCAAGTACTGGTACATCAAACAGTATCTGACCAGTAGTTAAATTTGAACCAATTGAATTGGTTGTCCATAAGCTGTAGTTTACAGACGCTATCTGTGACTCACTCACCAGTTCAGATGTGATAGTTTTCTGTACATAATCAATGTATGTATTTAAAGTTCGATTAAAGAAAGTCAACTGAGCTGTTAAATTATTCCCAGTTATGAAAGTAAAAACAATCTGAGCTGGTTTTGCCACTTGTAAACTCTTGGTTACAAGTGAAAGTCCTATTGGAAAGGAGAAATGAAGAATAGCATAGCTTGTGAAAATGCTTCACAGGATGTTTCACTTTGGTTTAAGTAATCTTTGAAAATCTAAAGGTTTAATTGATGACTTTTAACTAGTACATACTTATATCTTGAATGGGGTTCTGGAATATTGATCATTAACTTAAGATCTACTTTATCGGAACTAAACTCTATTTATACTTTTCCTAAAGACCCAAAGAACATTTTTCATTTATATCAAAGCTACATTTCCAATTTTCATTTTGATACAAATACTAGTGAAGATGTCACGGGTATTCTAATAATTTTATGTTTATGTAGAAATTTTAAAAAATGTAATCCATTAGCGCATCACACAGTTTTGACAAACCTTATCTTTCGATCTTCATGTACCACTGATCATGTGGCTTTGCTCAAAAACTCAGTAAAGTAATCTGAAATGAAATATCTAGGTGTTACTACTTCAATAATTGGTAGAACTGTTATTTGTATTCATAAAAGATTAGGCTTTCATATCACTGAATGTATAATAAACAATGAACTTTATATTTACAGTATAGAATAAGGAGTTTTTGTTGCTTGCTTTTATTCACTTCAGTTCACTTAAGATCACAGTGAAAAATAAATTTTCTTGTGTCATTAGATTGAGCATTGATTTATCATCCAGAAAAAGATTATAGATCTAATCACTTGCCTAAGATCACATCTCAGTGTAATGTCAAAACATTTCACCATAGAAAGTATTATGAAATTTTACTGACCTGTGAAACGCTCCATTACAAATTGTTCCAGTTTTCTACTAACAGTTTCCACAGGAGTTCGACAAGTCACATTCCAGACTACCACACCACTTTGAATATGCATGTAATCAAATTGTGTCATAGTATCATTTTTAGACAAAACACCGTTCAGATACCAGGAACATATAAATCGGCTTCCAGATATATTTAATTTTAGAGTGGTTAGTCCATTCAATTCAGCAAATTGATTTCCTTGTATTTCATAAAACTCAAATTTGTCTATCACACTCACATTTTGTACAATTATTTTGTACTGGAGACTGTTGCTTATATTGACGGTCAAACTATAATTACCAGCAGTACTGTAGGTTTTTTGCACCATTTTAACTGATGTTGTTTTCTGTACTGTGCCATCACCAAAATCCCATACATAAGTAACATTAATGCCTATTAAAATAAAGCACATTAGGAATATATATATATATATATATATATATATATATATATATATATATATATATATGTTTTTTTGCCTGATGTAAAACTTAAATAGAAGTTCCCCTTTAATTTCGATCTTCATCATGGGATCAGTTCACTTAACAGTCAAATCATCCAGGTAAATCCAAGTTTTTGAACTTTTTTTTTCAGTTACTCATTCTGAAGCGAATCTAAGCTTATTGAAGATGCAAGGAATATTATGACTTATTTACATAAAAAATTGTCATAAAATTCTTACAAACTAGTTTGATTACTTTTATTGTATTATGTTAGAGACCATATTAATCATAAAGTTAGACGGTGACTATCAGCTCATTTGTTGGAAACATTTACAGATACTGAATAATTTAAAAGGTGTTGAACTGCCCCCAAAGTACTACTAGTTAAGGTTTTGGTGATCGAAATAAAAAAATTTAAGTAGTTTGAATATATGCACACTGAGCTTGAGTAAGATGTTTGGCATTTTTATGACTCAATTCAATCAATATGGAGAAACCTTATTATATATGTTACTGTTTCTTATCCAGCTCAGTGTCATTTATAATATTGGTTTTTTAGTACAAAGCATTAACTCTAATACGTCCATTTTGCAAAGTTGCAATATGTGTACTAAGTTTAGCCAAAAATTTTCATTCTCGGGTAAACTACAAAGTTCACTGAGAAAAATCAGATGAATCAATATGAGAATATTTGTTCAGCAATTAATTACCTGTATGACTATTAAGTTCTAATGAACATTCTATTCCCGCAGCACATAATTTTAATATTAACTGAGTTTCATTTATAATTTCATCTATCATAATAGTAGTTTTAATGAGAGCCGGTGATGTATAGTTCTTGCCCCAGTAACTGTACAGCTGAAGTGAGACGTCTTGATACCCTGTCGTATTTATATATCCAGTCAATAATGCATCATGAGTTGGCCTGATCCAAGCCCCAATCTACAATTGAAAATATCATTATTTTAGTGATTTTCGAGAGGTAGATAGTTTTAAACACAGAGCTATTTCAACAATCATACAACCCTACGTGTTTCATCAAATGTTTCTTAAAATAGCAACATCCATAGTGTTTTAACTGTACTTTTAATGTGTAGACCATCTATATCATAAAACTAAATTTGAATATTATCTCCAAATGACTGTATTCAACCAGTCCAGTTTTAATGAATGAAAATTGTTCATTATTATTGAAATAAAGTTATAATTTCTCGAGTGTTACAGCAATATGAATCTATCATAAGTATTACATTCAATCATTGTTCATGGAACGTTCGAACAATGTGGGAAACCGGGAAGACCAGTCAAATAGCATTGGAAATGAGGAGATACAACTTAGCCGTACTGGGAATCAGCGAAACCCACTGGACCCAAGCTGGACAGAAAAGGCTAGCTACGGGAGAGATGCTGCTATACTCCGGTCACGAAGAGGACAATGCTCCACACACTCAGGGAGTCGCTCTTATGCTGTCCAAATTAGCACGAAATGCACTTGTAGGATGGGAATCCCACGGATCCAGAATCATCAAAGCATCATTCAAAACAAAGAAGGACGGGATCTTAATGAATATTATCCAATGTTATGCACCCACAAATGATAGCAACGACGACATTAAAGATCAGTTCTACGAGCGGCTGCAGTCAGTTATTGAGAAATGCCCAAGGAAGGACCTAACTATTCTGATGGGAGATCTAAATGCCAAAGTCGGAATAGACAACACTGGATATGAAGATATTATGGGACGACATGGACTGGGAGAAAGAAACGAAAATGGAGAAAGATTTGCAAATCTATGTGCATTCAACAAATTGGTCATAGGAGGCACAATATTTCCACACAAGCGTATACACAAGGCTACATGGATCTCACCGGACCACACTACAGAGAACCAAATAGATCATATTTGCATCAACAAAAAATTCAGAAGGACAATGGAAGATGTGAGAACCAGGAGAAGTGCTGACGTAGCTTCAGATCACCACCTAGTTGTGGCCAATTTAAAACTGAAGCTAAAAAAGAACTGGACAAGTGGACAAACAGCAATACAAAGGTTCAATACAGCCTTCCTTCGAGATACTGACAAACTCAATGAATTCAAGATAGCTCTCAACAACAGGTTCCAAGCCTTACAAGATCTACTGAAAGAAGAAGAAACTAGTATGGAGGACAACTGGAAAGGCATCAAGGAAGCATTGACTTCAACGTGTCAAGAGGTTCTGGGTCTAAAGAAATACCATCATAAGGAATGGATCTCTACAGAAACACTGGACAAGATCAAAGAAAGGAAGAACAAGAAGGCAGCAATAAACAACAGCCGAACACGAGCAGAGAAAGTCCAAGCACAAGCTGAATACATAGAAGCAAACAAACAAGTGAAGAGGAGCATTAGAGCCGACAAGAAGAAATATGTGGAAGAACTAGCAACGACGGCAGAAAAAGCTGCTAGAGAAGGAAATATGAAACAGCTTCACGATACAACGAAGAAACTAGCAGGAAAATACAGTAAACCAGAGAGACCGGTCAAAGACAAAGAAGGCAAGCCAATCACCGAAATTCAACAACAGCGGAACAGATGGGTAGAATACTTCGAGGAACTCCTGAATAGGCCGGCTCCAACGAATCCACCGGACATTGAAGCGGCACACACAGATCTTCCCATAGACGTCAACCCACCAACGAAGGAAGAAATCAGAATGGCCGTCAGACAAATCAAGAACGGGAAAGCAGCGGGTCCGGACAACATACCAGCTGAAGCACTGAAGTCAGACATCGAAGCAACTACAAACATGCTTTATCTTCTATTCAAAAAGATTTGGGAGGAGGAACAAGTGCCGATGGACTGGAAAGAAGGGCACCTCGTCAAGATTCCAAAGAAAGGAGATCTGAGCAAATGTGAAAACTATAGAGGCATTACACTGCTGTCAATACCAGGGAAGGTCTTCAACAGAGTGTTGCTGAACCGAATGAAAGATGCAGTAGACGCCCAACTTCGAGATCAACAAGCTGGATTCCGTAAGGATCGATCATGCACAGACCAAATTGCAACACTACGGATCATCGTCGAACAATCAGTTGAGTGGAACTCATCACTATACATCAACTTCATTGATTATGAAAAGGCATTTGACAGTGTGGATAGGAGGACGTTATGGAAACTTCTTCGACACTACGGAGTTCCTGAGAAGATTGTCAACATTATCCGGAACTCATACGACGGACTACAGTGCAAAGTCGTGCATGGAGGACAGCTGACAGATGCATTCCAAGTAAGGACCGGAGTCAGACAAGGCTGTTTACTCTCTCCCTTCCTCTTTCTTCTGGTGGTCGACTGGATTATGAAGACCTCGACATCTGAAGGAAAACACGGAATTCAATGGACAGCTCAGAATCAATTAGACGATTTGGACTTCGCAGATGACCTAGCCCTCCTATCACGTACACACGAACAGATGCAGATGAAGACAGCCAGTGTAGCAGCAGTCTCTGCATCAGTAGGCCTCAGCATACACAAAGGGAAAACCAAAGTCCTCAAATTCAAAGCGGAAAACAACAACCCAATCACTCTTGATGGCGAAACTCTGGAAAATGTAGAGTCCTTCACATACCTGGGAAGCATCATCGATGAACAAGGAGGTTCAGATGCAGACGTAAAGGGAAGGATTGGCAAAGCAAGGACAGCATTCCTACAGTTAAAGAACATATGGAACTCAAAACAACTTTCAACCAATATCAAAGTGAGAATCTTCAATATCAACGTCAAGGCAGTTCTACTGTATGGAGCTGAAACTTGGAGAACTACAACAACAACCATCAAGAAGGTACAAGTATTTATAAATAGTTGTCTACGCAAGATACTCAACATCCATTGGCCGGATACCATCAGCAATAGCCTTCTGTGGGAGCGAACAAACCAACTTCCAGCTGAAGAAGAAATTAGGAAAAGACGATGGAAATGGATAGGACATACATTACGCAAATCGTCAAACTGCATCACGAGGCAAGCCCTAACTTGGAATCCTGAAGGGAAGCGAAAAAGAGGAAGGCCAAAGAACACATTGCGTCGGATAATAGAAGCAGATATGAAAACGATGAATTACAACTGGACGCAGCTAGAAAGGATTGCCCAGGACAGGGTTGGATGGAGAATGCTGGTGAGCGGCCTATGCTCCTTCACGAGGAGTAACAGGCGTAAGTAAGTAAGTAAGTAATTGTTCATGAGTAAATCAATTTTGAGCTCATTATACTAAAGAAGTTAAGCTAGGCTAAAAATTAATAGCAGAGATATAGATAATCTTTCCTTCTTCTGGGAAGGTAGGATCTGTTGTTAAACTTACCTGATGTCGTATAGAAGTCAAACGCTTTAGATTACTCCCTAATACAGAACTTCCATTAGTTCCAGAAAACGTTGTCAAGGTTTCTAAATCATCAGCTTCATATGATGAGGAAGGAGCACATCCAATACTTCCTGCTAAGATACTAGTGAATCCTATTCGATCACCTGACTGAATAGTCCATACAGAAGGCAACTTAATATTCTGCCAACCTAAAACTGTTAATTTGACCGTATAAATCTAAAAAATAAAATGTCATGGAAAACATCAGACAAACGAGATCAATTAGTCAAAAAAATATTCAATATGTTTTCAACTCTAAATATTACAGCTCAGGTTGTTTTTAAAGACTATGACTTCTTAATGCGTTCAATAACAGATAGGATATGGGATTTTAGAGCAATTAAACTTTAAACGTTAACTACTGAAGCTTTCATTGTATTGCTAGATAAAGTCACTGGTAGAACCCTGAAAATGATCGATTTAAATTTTTTTAATCAGTGACTGACAACTTGTTCTGTTGAAACGGGATATGATTGGTTGATACCGTTAATTGTACTACCACTATCTGTAAATACAATGTTTCTTGCTGACCTAATAGTTGGCTAACATTTCCTCATAGGTTGATGGACTGGATTTATCTTAATGTGCTGAATGAACTGAGAGCTACTTTCCCAAAAATCTTCTTAATGTGCGTCCCCACTTTAATATCTCAGTAGTTTCTATGTCTAAATCATGTTCATTACTGCCCAGATCCATTAATGCGAGTGAAAACATTTCGTTACGTTTGAAAGTTAATTTTTGTTTATGTAAACAGAGATGAAGATGAAGATCACTTTTTAAGATATTGTATTTAAGTCATGTGTGACATTTTATTTACTCGACGACATTTGACATTTCATCTCTTGACATTAAGTCCATCGGTTTGATTATATTGATTAACTGTGAACCATTTCACGGAGGTTTGTTATCGAGATATTTCTTATTGAACTATGCCATAGACAAACAGGTTGAAGTGTCTGTATAACTACATTTGAGCCTAACAATCGTTACGGGTTTTATAAGACTGAATATTACGGTCACCACATATGACCTTTATAGCTTTGGACGATGAAATTACCACCATAAGTAAGGGTCATTTCAGTGGAGTCATTTAAATTAAGGTACTTTGTAACCACACGATAAGAAAGTAACTGAAAATGACTTGGCGAATGATATTTTAGAAATTTGAAATAAGTTTGGAATTATTGTGTAAAAACGAGTAGGTAGGAGTTGCTTGATCTTTTTTCAGGATCAGGATAAAACATATTACTGAAAGTTATCTTCATTATAATTTCTGTAAAGCTACATTGGTAGTTTTGTGTTGACTAGTAAAAATTAAACCGGAGTAAATGTTTAAAAGATTCATATTTCTAGGTAGGAATAATACAATCGGGGGAAACGTAGTTCAATAATTCTTACTTAGTTACCCATGAAAGGCAAAATCTTAAGATGTTAGTCGTTATTGGCATCAAACTTTACAGTGAAAACTGTTTACTCTGATATTGATCAGTAAACAGAATGAGTTAAAGGAGGAAAACGCTTAAGTTAGAAACACTAACTAAATCAACATTATTTAAGCCGTGGATATATTTCACCATTCTAATGAGTATGAACTCCTCAGCTTTGAATGACTAAGTTCTGATTTGATGAAAATATTCATAAGTATAGTCATTTTCACTTAAGCCGCCTATACTTAGACATTTACGAAGCAAAAATCTTAGTGTAACATAATCTAATTTTGATCCCTTATCAACAAAGAAATATAATTGATGTAATTTAATAACCGTGTATCTGTTGGAGTGACAAGACTGGCTTGTATCTTTAAAAAAATAACCTCATATTAATTTTCCAAAGCAAACCATGAAATATCACATTTTGTTTTCTCTCTAAATAGGAATCTGAAATTTAAATGCAGTGGAAAAAATCAAAGAATTACTATTTTACAGTCAATAACTGGATCTAATGTCCTTTATATGATCCAGGAAGATACAGCACCCTAAGGTTACTATTAGCTACTTATGGGTTTGTAGAAATACTTACTGATGGATTTTGGGTTCTTCAGACAACCCAGTAATAACCGTAACCGATTAAATATTTCTCTACCATTTTAAGTTTATAAGATATACAACAAACCACAATAGTAGAATAATAGCTAAATAATGATTAAGATGTATTACCTTGTGTTATATATTGACCAGAATACAGGAAAATATATTTATCACAGCTACATACGAGTGGTTTCCATGTTTTGACCTCTGAAAAATGACCCGGAGTAGCGATTATCCTAAAACACCTTACAGCTCAAGCTTCACTGTCAGACATGTAACCTACCTACCACTTAGTCTGTACATTTAAGATACGATTATATCAAGTTACATTGCATTTAATTACATATATGTGTTTTGTGCATAATTACTGAGACGATATGAGATCTATGTAAATCAATGATGAAAATCAATGCAAACTCAGTGATTTCAATGAAGGATAAATTCATCGGATACCAAAACTAAATCTCTCCCACCACTAAATATATAACGGATATGTTCTTCAAATCCATTTTAGATACATATTTTCATCAACCGAAGTTTTAACGACTTGGAAATTTCGGTCTCCTTTGTGTAATAAAAAGCGTTTTGTCGTCAAATCCTCACTTTGGTAAGTATCACCTGACGTTTTTTGTTTTCGAGGTTTCATAATAATCCAAAATTTATTTCGTTAATACATCACACATTTCACATATATTATGTCTTATTAAAATCTGCAGAGAAAATTAACTAAAATCTTCAGAATGATGGCAAGTACTACCGTTTATGCGATAACTTACTCCTATCACTTGATAATTATAATTTTCAACAATTATAGGTTTATCTAATTTCAGTTGCCGTAGATTACCGCAGTAGGATGATGATATGTTAACGCAATCCCGGACCAAACCAGAAAACACTTGATTTGCTGAACACGTTACGCTACGATTGTTGGTCGATGAACAGCTATTGGTTTCAAAATTGTACATACCACCAGTGCATTGAACGCGTAAAAGCTGAAATAATAGACAAACAAGGAATGTCTGACCATAACTGTCCTAACTGTATCAATTATTTAAAGTGGCAGAAACAATATAGATAATTTCCTAACTCTTTTAACTCAATCCAGACTAATTATTGTTTAATATATTGAAATGTAAGTGTTAAAACTGTAAATGGATGTCGAATGATGAATGTAGCCAACCAATCTTCTGATATTTGACAAGATGCACCTTAATTAATCTGTCATTCAAGGATTTTCATACCCTACCTAGTTTCGGCTTATCGAAATTGGTTTTTGTAACTATAAATAGGTAGCTAGTACTGGGGAAAATGAATAACCATACATTTCTGTCTACCATGACAACTTTGCTTAGGTCTGCTCTATCAGAGTAAAACTGGAATTAAATTAACAGCTGAATCTTTTATTTTCGTTATTACTGTGATAGACTAATTACCGAAATCCACCATATCGAATCCGGCTGCGAATCAAGCCCTTGTTAAACTTAAGCTATGATCTTTACCTACTTCTCGAAAAGTGTGCTTATTGGCATCATTTAAGCGATTTTGTTCTTCAGATAGTCAGAAACGTTGAATTACTTTAGTTTATTTCAACTAACTAACCTCGTGGATTATTTTCCATTTTCAACTATCCATAGATCACTGATTATGTAACAAACAAATGTTGGTTTCAAAAGATAAGCTCAGGTTGAATAGTTCAGTATGTAAAGATAACGTTTTGGGGTGTGAAACAATGTAGTTTAGTATATCAGGCACATAAAGTTCTCGTCTACAAAGTCATTCAGTTACTAAATCTACACTTCTATGTGGTTCATCATTTATAAAATAGGTCAAGACTGAAGAAAACATTCAACGGAAGTAGGACTTTGAAGGATATTTGTTTATGTCATATTTGATGTTTATTTTGCATGACAACGTTTTGCTCATTATCTAAAGACCCTAAACTAACAAACAATTTAAATTTGTACTAAATGATCAATCAATCAAATTGTATAAATACGCGGTCATTGGTACTGGTCAACCTTTGTCATGCTAATGACTATTATTCTATTTATTGAATAATGAAGATATCTCAGTGCATCTATTAACCGAATCTTAAAAAAAGGAAATTAAACTTATTTTCATCTCAGTAGACTCCTCATGTAGCAGGTGATCAACCATTAGTGAATCTTACTAAGAAGATAGTTGTTTGTGGCTGAATTGAAATAAATACAACTTACATAAAAGGTGACATCAGTTAATAGAAGTGCATGTATTTGAATTGTACTGATTGTTCCATCATAGCGAGCTTGTGAACCAGTGATGATTAAGTTGTTTGTGTTATAATTTATCATTGTATCTTTCATACGTTTTGGAGGCAGTCCTATCCAATCATAATTTGGTTCTGAAGAATAAAAAACAAAGCAACTGCGCCAAAAAAAAGAAACAACAGTGGTATATCAAGTTAATAAACTCAAATTTTCAACAAATAAAGATTAACAGAATTAGATTACACCGTACCGAAGCTCTGTAACTACATATTATAACATTCTGGAACGAATCAGGAAATTCAGTCGTATAAATGAGTTATGAAATAAACAAATACTTGTGCTTAAGCTGATTTGTTATCTTGGTTAATGGTTTGATATTACTTTAGTCAATCAACAGTAGGTTCTATATCTAGATTATACGTATGTGTAACAGCATCTATCAGCCTCATATATTAGTAAATTTCGAGAAATCTCTGTTAAATTGCATCACCTTTAATTCTGAATTAAAAGTATCTATATTCTTAACGACTGGGGAAAAAAACAAATGTTAGGTACATGAGTTATACTTGAAAGTTTATTGATTTGAAAAATACAGCAAACATAAGTTATAATGAAACGAAACAATTAATCCAATTTAATATAAGACACTAAAATATCTCCTTGTCAACAGTTCACGTATCAAATAATTCACTATGACGTATGGTCACTTAGTTTAATGTTTGCATTACAGTAGTGAATATATCATAATATTGTCTACCATCTAATAACCAGTCGTTGTCATTGCCACTGTAACGTTCATTCAATCAAAAACATTTTTAATTAAAGTAATAACTTGCTTCATTACTTAGCATGGTTTGAAAAATATCATTTTCATGTAATATACGATGCCTTTAACAATATTCTTCTCTGAATTGAATATCTATTATTGTTAATATGTGGTATTTTTATTTCTAGCAATCAACACAATATACCTCATCTAGAAAATTGAGTTGTTTGATCGAATACTGAGCTAGTAATACTGAGATTAAAAACTATTCGTAGTTTTGTAAGTAGCATTTATTAAAAATGTTATATCTACTGGAAACGACAATGTATAGTTGTGGTATGTGCTATTGATGTCGACAGATATAAGTAGTATGCATCATCAGTCGAAAGTGAAATACTTGGCAGCAGAAGGTTAAGAAGATCAACGAAAAGAAAACGAGAACAGTGAATGATTGTTGTGGAAACAGCGAAACAATCAAGTCTGTGAAGAGTGATCGAAATTTTGCAAATGCATTATTTATTGTATGATTATCAGATTTTACTAAGATATTCTGTAATTTTGTTTCGGAATACGTTTCGTTGTCCCCACTGGTGTTCTCGCTCGCTACATAGTTTTCAACAGCTATTTCTCCGTATTTTAAGGCCGTTGGAAAAAATGATTTGAAAACCAGGTAGAAGATCCATTTGTAAGCTTTTCTCAACTTTAATGTTCTAACCTACTACTCAGATTATTTTCTACATCAGAAGTAAATCAATCAAAGCGTTCCCGTACAAATCATTATGGTTATTGAGTTACTGAACGCTGTATTCTGAATACTTGAATCAGACTGTATATCTTTGTGAATCTAATATCTACTACAATGTGCTTCTACTGAATCAGGTCATAAGACATTTTATTGCACAAAATTAATATCTCATGTACTGCCGAACAAAATGAGCAGTTGAACACCATCGATATTAATCTATAGTTTTTAATGACGAGAAAAATGATCTTATTTCATCTGATTAGAGCTAACATATTACTCGGAGGACTAATTCATTTACAAGAACGTGATATAAAAAAACAAATTAATCTAGTCAACTGACTTGAATAAGACTGTAATCCAGTGTTAATGTCACTTCACTCTGCTTAATATAAATTACAGACAGGGGCGAAAATGACAAACAAATACACTTGCTCACAAGTTACAACTTTGTTGACTGTATAATTCCCAAACGAAACTCTGTTAATATTGTATTTGGGTGGTCAGAAAATCATAAAGGTGTGAAAAATGTCACATATGTAGAATGTAATGTGTATGATAATAAGAGTTATGTCTCACTCAATTTTTATACGCTGAAGAGATATATACTTGTTTTTACTCTCAACTCAGGCCATTTTTGTAATAATTCAAATACTTCAAAGTACTGGTCTGTTTCCTGGATTTCTGTTGTCTAATGATGACTTACTATTTACTAAAATTGTCAAGTAAAATGTATAGCGTTCATTGTAGATTATGTAATCTTAACGAAGTTGTTTCAACCAGCTGACCCATTTGAAAAGGAAGAGGACAAGGAATATAGATTTACTAATTTACAAATACTCATTGTTTTCGTTCTAAATGTGGCCAGAATGGTTATTTTGAAAACATGAACTCAAGAAGAACTATTTTATTAAACCTATAAATTTTGGCCTCAACAATACAGTAGGTATAGAGATATATCGTTGTCAAAATAATTTTAAAACAAGCTCAGTCAGATGAATTTCTTAGAAGTTAGATTTATCTAGTAGACTGGAGTTTCAAGAGAAAACTGTACTCATTCATGTAGTTTATAGCATGTGGTTGAATAATTGAGAAAGTTATTGGCTCATGGTTTTAGATATGTAATGATGACTAGCGTAGAGAAGTGGATCAAATGACTAAATTACGGTTTGCATATCATCTACTATCACTGCAATCATACAAACACTAAAGAATAGTTGCCGATCATTTGATTAGGTTAAAATAAAATAACCAATAAATTTCTGTTAACATTGAAGAGTTCTACAATAATACACTTACATGTGAGTATGCTTTCTGCTTGGTCACTGAACAACCAAAGGATATTTACACAGAGACACGAATAGAAACTTACATTGGTAAATGTTTCCTAACTATGCTTTCTACAAAGCAATGTGACATCATCATTCTTCACAAACATAAACGCTTAAATAGTTAGTCTAGTTCATCCACAAGTGAAATAGAAGACTTAATAAGTTGTATAGTAAATTATAGTAAATCAGCTAATCAAATAGAATGAGTTTTGCTTATCGTAATTCATAAAGAATTTACTCATTGCATTTCTGTATATTATCAAAATAAGATAAAAAGTCTCTGTTTGTGAGAAAATACATGATTGTTGATGGTTAGGACAGGCCCAATGTGAATAAATTAGCGAGCTCTTAAATTTGTAGAAACTGTTAAGCCGCATGTTGTTAAATGGTAAACTTCAAAATGAATCATTGGAATAATTTGTTTAAATTAAAACACCTAAGTATAAATATTAATAATTTATGATTGTAAGTTATGAGCTTCAATTCAAAGCAGACATGATACCTAGAAGCTTCTAGCCAGATAAATTCTTCAGACTACTTACTTTCATGATCAACACTGTTTTTGAAATAGAATAATTTTAAAAACTCATCGGTTTTCATAAAAATAACTAGAAATTCCACTCATTTCCTGGTGAGACATTTGAAAGACGATCAGGTGACCTTGAAAGTGTCAACCTAATAACTAGGACCAAATGAGGGTTATAAATCAGTGTGAGGAATTAGAATTATGATTCACAGTTTATGATTAAGGTTAGGACATCAGTTATAATATCAAAACTCGATATAATCAAATGGATGAGGGAATTTCGCACCTAAATCCGAGACCTGTTATCTTATATCTGATAGGTTCGTCCGTAAATTAAAGTCTCGCTGATCCTCTTCACAAAACAAATGAATTCAGATTATTTAAATGCGATTATTATTCTTACTTTACTGAAAATCACGAACTTCCAGACCTCTCAAATAATCTTCAGTTGTTTAAATAACTCATCTAATAAACAACATTCTTATTTGTTGATAGCAATTTAAGATATTTATGTAATAAAATGCATTTAATTTGCATCTTCTCTCATTTAACTCATAATCAAGTTTCTGGATCGTGAAATTTGTGTCACTTCATGAGGATTAGAAAAGCCATCAAAAATTAATTCATCGATCTTTTTCCATTTTGATTGTTTTCAGAATGTGATGTGTCTGTAAATAACTATCATTTATCATGATACCTGAGTGTTTTTCAATAAGGATTTTAGAAAATGTTTCACAGTAAACATACCTAAAGTGTTGTTTACCGCCTCTTAATTACTATAATTACGTCAGTTAATGAATGATCAGTGAATTATACAGATCATGTTGAATTGTTGCATTAAGTTGTTCTAAAAAATAAATGACAAATATTTATGCTCCAATATAACATCCAAGTTCCTTTATTTTATCATATATAAATTAAATTTTCAAGTAAACTTTTCTAGTGAAACATCATACCTGGTAATGAGATTGTATCTTGCCAATCGTTTGCAAACGACACAGTCCCTTGTATATGACTTCCTTTATTGCAAGTCAGTTGACAGGTGAATACAGATCCACTCATTACAAGTAGCGGGCAGTTAAGCGTAATATCAGCCGGAGTTATCGGTTCATAAATCATTAATGCTAAACTTGCTGAGCCAGTCTAAAATATAAAAGATTTATAGTAAATTAAATTTTTTAATTCAGCAATTATGAGCATAATCAGACTTTCATAAGCTATTTGATATATCCAGACACAAATATAAGTATTAACTTTGTGCTGAAACTAGATCTTTCTCTATAGGGCATCCTGAAGTATTAATAACAGGAAAATAGGAAATTCTTCTACATATAGGCTTTGCCAGTTAGAACCAAAATACAAATGAAACAAAATTAGGAAAACCCTTTTGTTGGAAAAAAGAAACTGGAAAAACAATTCATTAATATTAAAATAATTTCCAAGAGAATAGATATCTTAATACAATTATCATGAGATAAGTAGCAAGGCATAAAATATAATGGCTTAATTTAAATCATCTTTCACTAAAGAGAAATTCAAATGAGAATATGGTTTAAAACAACAATTAGAGAATTAGAAGGGGTTTTGTGGGGATTGTAGTAATTTCAACAGTTGAGATCATGAGTCAGTTGAAGCTAGACCACCATGGAAAACGTGGAAGCACTGGACGGCCGTTTCGTCTGATACTAATCAACATATGATCACTAGTAAGAGAGATATACCTGGAGTTCTAGTGAGAAGCAGTGACCAGTGGAGTTCAACTGGGTCTGTTGTGAGTTAGGAACTCACTGATGACAATAGTGGATGTGTCGCTCAATTTCGTGGATTAGTCGAAGTTAGACATCAACACCGTTGGATGCCGGCTCAGTGATCTAGTTGGTTAAGCGCCTGGCGCGAGACTGACAGGTCCTGGGTTCGAATCCCGCGAGGCAGGATCGTGGATGGTCACTGCTGAGGAATCCCACAATGGGACGAGACGGCCATCCAGTGTTCCCAGGTTTTCCATGATGGTCTAGCTTTAATTGACTCATGATCTCAACTGTTGAAATTAGAGAATCATTGGATGTAGACTAGAAATGGACTACCATAGAACCCAGTTGAACATAGAACACATTATATGACAGTGATAACTCTTAGTTATTTGATGACTGTGATTGATGTAAGACTACTTATATAAATAAATATTGTTAGGAAAACCACTAAAAATCGTGAAAAGATCATAGTTTTAGTTCACAGCTCACCCTCGAGCGTATTTGGAATCTAAAACGATAGGGTTATAATTTGACAAGAATCTTTCTATTGAACCGTTTGTTCAAAATTCAATAGCCTTAATTTTCCAACATTAAAGAATTATATTGAATTGTGTAATTTGGCTCTTTTATTTTGTTCGATATTTAACTAATAACATGACTATAACGTGATAACTACTCTTCATTTCATATAAATATATTCAGGTTATGCTTTGTTCTTTATAATGTTTCAATAGTAGAAAATGTGGTGGATTTCACCATAGAAAAGACAAAGGATTGATTTCTATATAAAAGCTGGTACAGCTGATACAGTTAATCAGAAGTTTCATTTTCGACCGAACTATTAACTGAGAAGAATTAAAGGTTTGGTTGTATTTACTTATCCTTAGAGAAATTCTAAATTTGAAAATCATTGATAACATAATTTAGAAAATCTTTTGATACACTTAATGGATTAACATCATTATATTTTGTACCTGCATTATCAAATTACATCTGCGAACATTAACAATATAATTAAATACACTTACAATTGTACCATCTTGATTTCTCGCCCTCAGTGTTGGCCACACAGGACCTGGTGCATTGTAGCTTATTACTAGTGGTATAGTAATATCTGAGATATTTTCTGTAGTTTGTAGTGAATCGCCATAATCGAATTCATAAACTTTGACACCAGGTAAAACATTAAATTCTGTTGGTATTACAAAATTTATTGAGATTGTATCTCCAACTTGTTTAACTGTCAAATCTGTTGTTGTAATCTATGGGAAGGTATTTAAATCGTTATTAAAAAAAGAAATATATGTTAACTGACTAAAATAATAACGACATACAGTGTTAGTTTGTTTACTTTACTCAGCTCTGCTTTTTCACCTTTTGATGTTTTACAGTATTTAACTCGATATCTATTCTATATTCTACAAAATGTTAACTAGCAACCTTACGTCATTTGTTTTTAAGTCACCTTGAACGTGACACAAATCCATTCATTTTTGTTAATTACTTCACAAGCAAGTTATTCATATCGTTTTTAGTTCTTACAAGTTTGTTCAAAAGTTAAAAGAGCTTTTATCTTGAAAACTATCCTTCATAAGACCTGTTTATACACAAGGTATATGTAAATACACAAAGAAATAAAGATGGATTTTATAGGAATGTTTATATACGATTAGTGAGTTATAATATGAAAATTATAGCCTGCATTTTTAACTAATTTTGTCATACTATTATTCACTGTCCATGTGGAAATATCTAATCATAATCGAATAGATTAAACGATCATTCATACTCGAAAACATTTATCTCAATGAAGTTGACTCGTTGAACACTTGAATATTCATATCATAAAACAGTTTTCTTGTATACCACTAACAGGATAAGAGTTAGTCTAGTATTGCCAACTTTTTAGGCTAGTCATAATGTATGTTACGTAACATATAATGTACTGCGTGGACTGAAGTGCCCTAACTTAGTCCACAGAAAGCCAGAACATATGTCGAGAATAGCAATTACATCACTCGACTAAGCTTGATCTGCGCTCATCCTTGATACTATACTATCAACCGCTAAATAGTGCACACGTGCGTATGTCCGTAATTAATCCAGCTCTACAAACGTTTGCAATAAAGGGGTTGCAAAGTAGCCATGTGATGTGTGCTACTTATATCGACATAAGTAGTATATGACGTTAGTCAACAACAGAATGTTTGGCAGCAGAGAGACAAGAGGATAGAACAGTAAAGAATGGAAACAGAATGCAACTTGTATGAAAATGAAAGAACAATGAAGTCTGGGTCATTTTAAGACAAGTGATGGACATTTTTGCAAATTAAGCATTTACTATATGGTTCTCAGATTTTATTGAGATGCTCTGTAAGTTTGTGGTCAAATACATTCGATCGTCCTTGCTGGTGTTCTTGCTCACTATATCCTCATTTGCTCAGTGTTTAACTTTAAAGCAGAATAAACAATGTTCTGTTCCCATACCTTTAGAGTCATTTTATGTTAACTCATGGTTTATCCTCCTAATGAAATAATGATTTTTAAACGGAATCTGGGTTTATTCAATTCATAAATTATTTTTGTAACCCAGATATTTTTCGATTAGAATCTTCATCATGTACTATCAAGGGCCTATGAGATGTCTCACTGAATCCATTGTTTGTTAGTTACAAGCCCAGTATGAATTTCGCGAACCCTTCAGCTCAGTAAAGAGTAAACACTTACTTTAGTGATTGAACGAATGTATTTTTCTAGCATATTATCACCACATTTGTGTAGTCTGATGTATTTCTAGTCATCTATCTTGTTAAAACTACACAATTTTTCATTACCGTCTCATCTGAAAATATCCACCAACGATGTCAGCTTAAAGAACTCTCGTATCACCTAGGGCATATGCTAATATTTATTCATTTCTGCATTACTTAAATAGAACTTTTTAAACTGAGACCTTTCATAGGGTAGACTATGGTGACCTTACAAGACCAAAATAATTTATCATCATAATTTTCCAATAGACTATTGCTCTCCAACAGTTTCAGTAAAAAAATAGACACATATATTAGTAGGCTAACAGATTCCTAGTACGTTTTCATTGATTTTTTATCAAACAAATGTCATATGTAGTATTATTCTCACGTCTTTTTACTATGAAACCCATGATGATTACTTCAAGTTTGACATTTACTCAAACTTGTAAATTCAGTGTTGCTACACAGCATACCTAGTTTTAAAAAGGTCAAGGTCAAACTTGTTTCTAGTGGTTACACTTACCACAAATGGACCTATATAAACATTTGATTCTGTCCCATAGACAGTTACCGTTTCTGAATACAAGCAACTTGAATTGTATAATTCTGTATCCGGCGGTAAATTATTTCCACAGAAACAAAACGAGTCATTTGATATAGCTGACCATGTAAAACTGTTCTTTTTACAAAGTGTTATACAATCTGAAGGATCTGTAACAATCTAGTTTTGTGTACATATTGTATATAAAGATAAAACGAGAAAGAAGTTAAAATGTATGATGTAATTAAATCTGTTATGTATTTTTCTGTAATATAAATTATAACATCATATTTCATATTAGAGTAATAAAAGAAAAAAAATACAAATATCCTAATAGTTTTAACTGTTATAGGGAGAGTATTCTAGATTACTTTGGTCATTTACAACTAAATATTAAGTGAGTATAATTTTAACTTTCTATTGATCTTCTCACATAACCCTGTTATGAATCTCTTTTCAAGATTAAATTTCTACGCTAGTAATTATCAGTATCCTATGTCATTTTGGATGAAAGCTATAATGTTTATTATTTCTGAACTAACTGAAAACTTTTGTGGAAAATGAACGTTTGGTTGACATACATAAAAACTAGTTAGAATGTATAAATTTCAATAGTTGAGATCATAAATCAATTGAAGCTAGACCACCATGGAAAACCTGTAAGCATTGGAGTTTTAGTGAGAAGCAGTGACCAGTGGAGTTCAACTGGGTCTGTTGTGAGATAGTAACTTACTGAATAGAATGATGGATATGTCGCTCAATTTTGTGGATTAGTTGAAGTTAGACGTTAACACCGTTGGATGCCGGCTCAGTGGTCTAATGGTTAAGTGCTCGCGCGCGAAGCCAGTAGGTCCTGGGTTCGAGCCCCGGGTGGTACGGGGTCGTGGATGCGCACTGCTGGGGAGTCCCATACTAGGACGAAACGGCCGTCCAGTGCTTCCAGGTTTTCAATGGTGGTCTAGCTTCAACTGACTCATGATTTCAACTTGTGAAACTTAGTATTTAATCAACCTGAAAAGCTACAATCATCTACAAGCAAGTTAGATTTGTAACCATCGCCTCATCAGATAAAGTATCTCATACTTAATGAAGTTCAGAATAATATTGACCAATTTAAAGAGTAATGAATAAAGACTAACAATTCTCATCAAACATTAGTCAGCTGGAAAAAAACTTACTACTCTATTATCTAAACTTACTGTTTCAGAATCGTAAAATCCCGGAGAAAAATCAAAATATCGAGTTTCCTGACGTTCCAAATAATAAACAGGATTTGGTATAGCACATTCTAATTAACATCAGTTTTTTGGATATTTATATTAGATAATTTCTTACCTGTCTCAAATATCCAATTTGTACTCAAAATTGTCTATGATCGAAATTTAAGAAGGGAAAATTTAAAAAAAATATTTGGTTATTTTTCAAGCAGAATGATTTGTGACAATCGACTATGTTTCAAAAACTTTCAGCTTTGTAGTTATGATACATTAAATAAAATATTTGTCAACCAGTAAACGGCAAACGACTAATCTACATTTTATTTCTTCCCTGTAAGTTAGGCACTAGTTTAGATTATAAAAGAGCATATTAAATACAAACATTTTGTTGAATTTGAAGAAGTGGCTTCCGTGTAAATAGGTGGATTAATGATAGTTTTTATAACCAACTTGATTTATTAAGAAGAACATAAACACTTTAGTAGATAATAATTGCTTGGTAGATGGTGTACTTGCTTTGAAACCTGATAGTCACATTTAATGTGATATCAACCCGAGAATATATAGAACAGAGTAGTTTTGAACTGGAACAAAACGTTTACTTCGCAAAACTTTTTCAGTTATCTTTTATGTGATTGTACTCCATGACTTAAATTATCCTGAACGTTAGAATATCTTGTACCATTCTACATAATGTTGCGCATAATTTTAGTGTTTCAGTAGTTTAAGTTAGTTACATTTTTATTAATGATGTATTTATCGTATTAGTAAGCTTCAAATCAACTGCTCTTATCAAATGTGATTTTGACCTAATAAAATTTACTGTACAAAAAGCGAAATGGATTTCCTATTGACTATTTCAAACTGCCGGAAAGTACAAAGTAATATATTATAAGAGCCTAGATAGTAAATTTTAAAAGTGGTTTTTTCTACAAATGACAAATAATAGTAGAGGAATGTTTCAATGGATGACATCCATGATTAAGCATTTTATTAACGCTCTAGATCATAATGATTAATACAATTTTGTAATTTACTGTTGATAGTTTATATTTTTATTGCCCAAATGAAATCCTTTTTACATCCCATCCTAAGATATTAGATCATTTTCTTATATTATAAATATGTCTACCATAATGCAACTAAATAATACATATTTAAAACTTACAATTATACAATATAACCATAATACTATGTTAATTCCCCTCGAAATATTCATATCCAAATAAATCTGTAGGTATTGAATGAGCCTCATCTCAAACCATGGGAATATATATACTCAGTTTTTATTCTATATGTTCCCCTAATTCCCATAGCAACAGTTGAATAATATATACGAAAACTACAGTAAACATCGTTAAGTTTTATGTTATATATACTCATCAGTTATTTCTAGCCCAGCACTGGCTTTTAGTTCTCATTAGGTTGATGGATAACAAAGCGTACAATAGGTATTTAAAAAGATAAAAACAGAATTGGGCCACGAAAAATGAGAGTGATGAGGCTGAATGTTAACTAAATAGTTATGGACAGTTGCATTTATTTGTTTTCTTAATAGTACATAATGAAGATGTTTTGTTTGCAAATTATAACCATATTTAAGATAATAATAATAACAATAATAATAATAGCAGAAGTAAATAAGAACAATGGCTTTAGAAATTGTTTTAAACTTTATACAATGCCAAACATGTGGTGAAACAATGTAGATTATTAAATGGTCTTTAAAAACTTTGTTCTATAATACGATTCATTCATTATGGCCGATCTCGTTATACTAAATTTCACAATTGTCTTTATACACGTTTTCCTTTTAAGTTAATTATGAAAAAAAACTATTTTGATTGTACATATTAGCAAGATTATAAGTATCTGATAATTAGTAACAATCAAGGAGAATAAGCTTTTTTTCTTTAGAGCTAGTTCTTCAAAGGTTTCGTTTCTGAATTCATTGTCACGCAGCTACTAATTACACAGTCAAGTCAACCAAATAAATACTGGCTATAAACAGTTAATGTTGATATTGTATTTACATAACAATTATTTCGTGAATAAATTGAGAGATGAGGACATATATTTCTGAAATCACTATAATTCCAATGGAATAATTGCTTTATACACCTTGGTTTTAGTACTTTTTAAGGTGGTGCCAACTTGCGATACGAAGTATCTGAAAATTCTGGTACTCTTTACTTCTATACTTATGTATGGTATGCTCATGTAAATAAACATCAACGCGTTTCTCTAGATTATTCTCTTCTTTTTTTAACTAAGATAAAATACGCCATAAAACACATCACAAATACCGGGGTGCAACAGCTGTTTTAGTTTTTCTTGGTCTTACTTTTGTCCAGTTGTTGCCAACCATTTGCGTATCACATAACAACGTTCTGTCATACCTTCTTTATCGGTAAAGTTTTTGTACAACCTGTGAATGTGATTTATATAGATTGTTGGTCTTTTGTCCTTCCAGCTGTGTTGATTTCATGTCGGTTGTCGCTGTTGGCACTGAAGTTGTTGGTTCAGAGATCTTCAGGGTTTCTATGTTCGTTGTTATTGGTTGGTTATGTTGTGGGTGGCAGGATCTAATGTGTCTATGTAGCCATTCCACTGTTATGTATGACTTTGAGTAATCTGGTATCAAGCACTTGTGTCCTTCTGTTTCTGAGGAATCCTGAGTTGTAAGATGATCATTTCTTAAGTGTCTGTTTATCTCTTTTTTTTGCTACGAATATTCAACTGAACTTAATGTTTGTGAATACGTATATTTGCATTCGTTGACCAATTATTTTCTGTTTGTAATCTCCTCCATTATTTAGTTTAATCTTAGTTGGGTGTTCTGAACAATTCGGTGGTGATTGGTCTTTACATACCTCAAAGTTCAGCCTTAGCTTTTCATGAATTGATTTTATCTGCTATGATCTTTTCGACAATATTGATTGTCAAGTTGTTTGATCTTTTGTGAGCAGCTTACCAGGTGTTTAGTCGGTTTCGCTGGACTTTGATGGGAATGCTTGAGTTACTAGTTTTATCTTTTAGTTCCTCCATTGTGAGATCCTTTCGGTTGTTTATTCCAAGAATCATTGGTCTTGTTGCATCGAGGACAACTTCTAGTCTCATCACGTCTTTCTTTATTAATAATATTGTCTCCGGACTGTAGATTAAGATGGAAATTATGGTAGATTCTGTTAGCTTCTTTTTGGTTGGTAGACCGATACTATTTGATCTAAATAGTGGTCAAATTTTGATTATTGAGTGACAAACTTTAGTGACGTTTAGGTTAATTTCATCATCAGGTGCATATGCTTCGGTGATTGTCTGGGTCTATTTTCGTACCTTTATGCTTATAGGCTCTGATAACGTTCACATCAATCTAGTGGCGTGGTATTTTATCAGTGTTACTCCATAATTTGTTTACCATTCCTAACGGGGTGTTTTCAGTTTGGGTTCTCCATATATTATCCACTTCGTTTGTGATGTTATTGTCTCCAGAAGCATTATCATTTTTCGGTCATTTCACGGTTTACTCTAGCTCATCTAGGCTAATTGGGTTGTCATTTTTTGGGGTTTGATTCTAAGTGTGTAAAGATCATTTGTATTATGAATTTTCGGCAGAATAGGTCTTGATAGTGGTCTTTCAGTGTTTGGTTACTGATTTGTGCAACTGGTTTTGTTTTGTACAAACTTTGGTTATTTATTGTCGCTAATATAAGGTTTAGCCATTTATTCGCTTGATGTTGTTCATTTTGTGTGAAGAGTTGGTCAGTGTTAGCTAGTCCTATCTAAATGTAGTCTTCTTTATGTTGTTTCGCTTCTGATGCAGTTGCTTTGATTTAGCTCTGTTAGCTCGTTGAGTCACTTTTTTATTAGTCTGTGTTTTTCTCTTATTTCTTCTTTACCATGGTAAGTTAGTATACCTAGCCAAATATGTTGAAATGATGTGATCCTAGCTTTTTTGGAAATTGCAGGTGCAGTGTTCAGTATGGTTGGTTCATGTTGTTTGAGACTGAAGTTCTCCTTCAGATTGTTCGTTTGAGTTTTGACATATTGTCTTGGGTTCATAGTAGGGATGTAGTCCATTTTCGTCTCCTCTTGTGGTGGCTATGGAAATTTTCACTCATTTCCTTGTTTATTCTAGAGATATCCGTTAATAAGTAGTGCTCGAAATTTGAATAAACTTATTGACTTTTCTGGACAACACACTTCAAATGTCCGTTCTTCTCTCATTTAGCATCAGACCTATTATTTGGCCACTAAGCGTAACCGGTTTGTGCTTGGTTTCATTTACACAATATGTGATACCATATGAACAAATAAGCGGTTAAAATTTTTCGTTACTCAAAGAAATAACCACTAAAAATGAGACTAAACTGCAAAGTATAACTTGGATTTTAGTTTTTCCATTGATCATCCCGTATTTAGAATAATATCCCAAACTTCTAAATGAAAACTTCAATTGATGTGTTAAGCAAGCCTAGGACGTCTATGAATACCGATAGATTAAAAAATATGATGTATATGTTAAATTGTGAAGTTATTAAGATTGTGAAGATTTACCTCTGTATTACAACTCAGCAGCTGAGTAATAGCATAATTGTCACCAAACCTGATGTATCATGAGAGCATCCCTAAGATAATATCAGATAATTTGGAAGCAGTACTAAGATTTATCCTCCCCCCCCCATAAATAAGAACTACTATTCTGATTCTGTTGCCTTCTCAAATAAAATACTTCCTAGAGTAAGGCGACAGCAGTGGCAGATAGGAAATTATGACATCAATTATATTTTGAGATCTTGTCACACTACTTGCAAGTAGGTAGTTTATATCTTGAAAATTTAGATGCTTTTTATCTGGAAATACGCTGACAGTAGCTTGTGACATAATGACTAAATTGGCACATAAGAAATAATTCATTCGGTAAAGTGCTAACAGATCCCTTAAACACTGCATTCACTATCCTCTATTACTGGTTATCGGTGTGTACACTTCCAGTGTACTGTATTTCACGTTACGCTTTTAAGAGCTTTTGACATGTCATGATCCCGTACTTTGTTTGTGGCATTTAATAATAAAAGAGTTCTACACTTGTTGGTTGTTGGAAACTCGTTCATCATCCACCAATAAGTTCTCTTCTGTGACTAACTACCACAAAGTTATTTTATTCAAATACGAATAGCTCAAAGTTAACAAGTTTTTATTATTTAAGTTGATAATACTAGTTCAGTGGTCGAAAGCTTAATAACTTACGTTTAATCCCATGAGGAATCGCGTGTGCACGTTGTTCAGTATTCCAAAATGTGGACAAAAATTCTATCCAATGTTTTCTGGTTTTAGTAGTCATCAGTTAGCGATGTAAACTAAAAATCAAGCAGTCTCCATAAAAATTTTATTGAAATGCTAATGCAAGTTATGATGTTTTGTTTGGAAATTAACGTATAATAACAAAATAATATGAATGTTGTAATATCCGAACAAAGAATAAATGAATGGTAACTTCTAGGAATTATCTATGAACTGTTATTACATATATTCCTATTGGACAACTTTTGAGTAATTAGATTGTATGTATATTCATATTCTTTTTATCATAAGCTTTCATTTAACCAATTGGTTACTGTTATACGATTTACCATTCTTAACCTATTCCCAATTTATTAGTTACAGTATCCCATACGCAAAGCCACTTTTGGCTCCATCTTGTATAGTTTTATTGTGTTTTTTTTTTTAATTTACGGTGTGAAGCGGTCTGGTTTGTTTATATATGAACCGCGTATGTTTGAAATTTACGGTTCATACTGAGAATGCTGTTATTTATGTCCTCGACTGAACCGGCTGGATTAGGCAAAAATTTACTATACAGGGCATCGATAAGGACTCCGAATTGACTCGACGTTGCTCGTAATGGTTAACGCGTAATTGGTTTATCACAGGGACAAGTCCATATAACTTTGTGGTCTGAGTGACGATTTTGTCACGTAATAATTGACAAGGCTATAAGACATAAAATGTGTCCTGTTTGGTTATCAAATAATCTGAGAGGAATTTGTTATAATCATCTATGTCGTCGTCAGCATAGTAAATAATGTCTTAAGGATTAAAAGTGTCTAAAAATTGAATGTCCAGTATTGAAACGATTACTGGCACATTTTACTGACCATATAGGTTAAGCAATTCAGGAGATTCCGATTTTTAAATAAATTTCCAATTGGTTTATAT